AGGCCTGGACCCAGAGCGGGAGAGCACCTGGGGGAAGGGCCACATGGGAGGAGGGCTGAATTGGACCAGTGCTGGCATGTCCGGTCTAAACCTCCCACAAAACCTGAACGCAAGGGAGGCTGAAGGTTTTTGAGGCCAAACAGTGGAAAACACGCTGGAGGTAAAAAACACATCTTGCTCAGTCCCAGGGTGAAAGGTTAGAGGGACAGAAACGCACTGCGAAGCAACGTTGGGGAAAAGGAGAGGAAGTAAGGGAGCGTTTGGAAAGAAAAGGTAACTGAAAATGATGAAAGGGTTGGAAGAGAGAGAAAGTTCCATCAGAACGTAAGCAAAGAGATGAAAAACCATAAAACACGAGGTACAGAAGACTGATTGTACGATCTACCAGAGAGAGCAGAGAAAACGGGGAAGTCAGCCAAGAAATAACCCCCCCCCCCCCCCGAAAAGGGGTGCGGTGGGCGCAGCAGGCACTCGCTGGAGTAAGGCTCCTCAGGGTGAAGCCCCAGCACACCACCCTCACCATCAGCTTCCAGAGCACGGGTGCGGGACAGGACCCTAGGGCATGTTCCCGTTCCTGTGAGGGGAGGACGGCAAGCCACAGAGTAAACAAGTGGTCCGGTGTAAAGAAAGTGGATGTGTGAAGGGTTCTATCACTTTTCACTTGATCTTTTTATTATTTTCTTTATTGATTAAGGTATCACATATTTGTCCTCAACCCCCATTTCAATTCCCCTCCCCCACTCATGCCCTCACCCCCCTATTGTCCTTGACCACTGGTTAGGCTCATATGTGTGCACATAAGTCCTTTGGTTGATCTCTCCCTTTTATCCCCACCCTCTCTTTGAGGTCCAACAGTCTGACCCGTGGCTCCTTATCTCTGGGTCTGTTCTTGTTCATCAGTCTATGTTGTTTACCATTTCCCCCAGATGAGTGAGATCATGTCCTACTGGAAGTTACTTATAAGAATTGAAAATGAGACAAGCACTAATGGTTACGCTGAAAGGCATATGAATCAGTCTGTAGTGAGTTCCTTTCTGGGCCACCAGTTCTTTTGAGACCTTATTCCAATGTCAAACAGTTCCTTATGTGTATATGTCAGCCATGATATTTCAGTTCTGGATGGTGGACAAATGGTGGTAATGCAGGTCCAACCCTTTCTGGTTTGGTCCTGGGCAACCTGCAGTGACACGCAGCTGCTGACTGCTATTATGGTAAGGCGTCATGAGCGACTTCCATCTCTGGACTGCTTCTCTTCTGTCTTCATGGCTGGAGGAGTCCTGTCAATTCCTCTGTTGCCAGAATCCACATGGTCTCAGGGTTGCTTTCTGAAAATATACAAACATATTCTCGACCAAAAGTTAATAAAGGAATATTTTCTATAAATTTGACTTAGGATCCTTTTTCATTTTTTGCTCAAATGATTTTCCTCTGGCTTGTTTTGACACCATGTGTGTTTTTCATGAGTGTCTTGCTGATAGCATTACAATTAATTTTCTAAAGTACAAATTTTCTAGATGTAGTTTACTTTCAGGATATTTTTCCTTACATGATATTCTTCTATTTTCCCTTTTTTGATTTAAATATTAGGCTTTTGAAAATTTTATAATATAGTCTTGATAGCTTTTAAATTTTAATTTTTTGCACTATGACTGATATAGTAGTACCTCGAACTCTTGGGGATCAATAAAAAATCATCTTTATGGTGCTTGGAGACAAAGGTAATACATCTCTTAATATTCTAAAATTACAAAAGCATAATATACAATTATCCCAAGCAAACTTGCAAACCAATTCTTTGAATGTCTGGCAGGAATTTAAAAATGACATGAAAGGATTTAATTCCATTGTGTGGAGGGCCCCCTGGGAAGGCACCTGATCATTCTACATTGGCCCCTCTTGCTCTTTTGGCCAAGAGGGACCCTCCTCTCACAATCCAGTTGCCCACAGCCTCTGCCTGAGCTTTCTGTTCATGTTGAGGCTGAAGCCTCGTGATGACTGGTCGCATGGATCTGTCTCTCACCCAGTGGGGAGAGCTGGGTCCTCCCTGGAGAAGAAACCTGGGTTCCCCAAGATATGTGATCAGTGCTGGGGCCCAGCCAGCAGGCGTGGGAATCCTAAAGCAGAAGCTGGACATGGAGGCCCCAGGGGCATAGGATACCAAGGACAGAACTGAACCTCACATCACCCTGCTTGGCTCCAGAGGATGGCTGGTTAGCCAGTGATGGGTAAGATTCCTCAGGGGAGGAACAATCCAAGACAGGCACAGTTGAAGAGGGGCCATCGGGAGAGAACTTGGGGATCAACTGAGATGGGGCACAGACCCTCACCCTCAAAACTTTGCAGGGGCCTGAAACCTCACCCCTGCTGAGGGACTCTCCTGCCCCCAGGGCTGCTTAACTTCCCAAGCCCAGCTCAAACCGGGACCCGGGTAAAAGACGAGACTTCACTTGATCTTGACCTAATAATTCTCCCTGGAGACGCAGAGGCCCTAAGGTTGCAAACACCGTGGAGGCAAGGTGTCGGACTGTGATGGCTGGCCCAGCGGAGCCATCAGAGCACCGTGGCCCTGCCTGTGGGCTCCCGGTGCCAGGACAATGGCTGTGGAAGGAGCCGGCCTGCTGGGCATGAGCAGGAGACGGGTGCTGACTCTGGAAAGGTAGGCGGCAGGCTGCACGTCCCAGGGAGGGAAGAGAACCAGGGGGAGGGGAGGTGGCTATCCTCCTCTCACCGCCGACACTCCCAACCACAGTATTGACAGCGGCCAAGTGTTCCTTCTTTTGCTTTTTATTCCTCACCCAAGGGTATGTTTTCTTTGATTTTTAGAGAGGAAGGAAGGGGTGGGGGGGAGAAACACCTATCAGCTGCCTCCCTAAAGGCACCCTACCGAATCCACCTGAAATCAGGTATGTGCCCTGACTGGGAATCGAACCTGCTGTGTGGGACAACGCTCCAGCCCACTGAGCCGCCAGCCGGGGCTGCTACCTTTTCGTGTCTGTGTGAGGAGGAGGATGAATGCTAATAAACTTACTGCAGAAGTCACTTCACATTTATGCCACCGGCCTTACATTCACACTGTGCTGCATGTCAGTTACCTCTCCACACAGCTGGAGAAAACAGGAAACGACTAGGAGAGGCGGTTAGATATTTACATCTCATACAGAAGTCAACAGAAGTCTAGGCTTGGTGAGGCCGAGGAACACGTGATGAGACCAGAACCGGTGAAGGCAGGTGAAGGGGACAGGGGCCAGCAATTTAGAAAAGGGGGGCAGGAGCCCACGGCTTCCTTTAAACCATCACATTTCACTTTCTCATCCTGTGTGTGTCTGCTACTCTGATATTCTAAGACAGCAAACATATACGTAGAAATGAGGCATGAGACCCAGGGCCATTTGCGATCGGGCTGCAAAGACGGTGGATTGTGCGTGCTTTTCTTCCCATGTTTACTTGTGGCTCAGGAATGCAGTTACATGTGGTAATTTGACACATCGAGGGAGTCAAAAGCCTTTAAAGCAATCAGACCAAGAAGCTCTCTGAGGAAGCGGAAAGACAGAAATGGCTTGTAAATCACCTTTGTGAAAACAACCTGGGAGAGAAAATTAAGAGACATTATAATAACAACGCAGACACCCGCTCCTTCCGCCTTTTCTAGAAGTGAGATCACGAAGTGTTTCCCATATTTTATGGTGGAACCTCCCTGAGTCACTGGTGTCTGTGCATCTGTCTCCTGGATCCTACGAGCCACCGACAGATTCATACACTGACAGACAGGGGAGGCGCAGTGTTAGTTTAACTTGCCTGTTGGCTCTTTTAATATAAGTAATCCTTTTGTCATCAAATCTGTTGTTTCCTTCATGTCTGTCCTTTAAGCTTACAATCAACTCTCACCTTCAATTCAATGGTTTAATATGTTTGTAGTTGTATAATTCACATGAAATGTATTTTAAATATGGCATGTGGCAGGCATCTAACTAGTGATCCTAACATCTTTTCATATGTGATCTCATTTCTTAACCTAATTCCTACAACAAGATATATGTTGAGGACATGTTGCTTTGGATTTAAGTAAACAATAACATACACTCAAGACAGATAATTTCTGTTGCCCTACTATTTACACCTCACTGCTTTATATCTTAACGTTCATTCACTCAATGATCTAAGAACTTCTTACATTCTAGACATAGTAAGTTTAAGATGTATAATGGCAAGTGAAAAAGAGGCCGTTTCCCTCATTAATCTTAAAAAATCAGAAGGTTAATTCTGGCAGGAAGGAGCAACATTGTTTTTTGTTGATCTAGTTTGTATTCAAAGAATGATTTTCATCATTACATCAGTGTATTTGTGTGTTATATTAACATTTAATTTAGATAAGATGACTTTGTTCACTTCATTGGTTTCCTAACACCAAATTTCTCAAGAGAGGAGTCGAAACTACACTATGCAGCGAAGGAAAAGCGTGGTGGCAAGGCTCAGCGGGCAGGGCCTCAGCCTTTATTTCCGAGGAGTCTGCACACGACAGAAACCACATTTGGCCCCTGAGCTCAGCCCTCACGTGCACACACTGACCACTAGAAGCTGCCGGCAGAGGGTCCTGCTGCACCTCTGCCTCATGTTCCAGGGACACACGTTTGCTTGGGCCAAAGCCGCCTTGCACTGAAAACCGAGCCCAGTCACTCCTCACCAAGCGCACCACCCACACTGCTGCTTATCCGAGAGTCATCAACCCTCCCCTAAGACTCAACCAGCCTTCATACAGGAAGCACGTCTGCAGCCCCTGAAGAACACAGCAGAAGGAAGCATGTCTAGAATGCTTTAATGTTTGCAGGCAACACCATCTGTATCAGCCTCTCACATAACTGGCCGGTGAGGGGTTTCAAGAGCGGGAGTAAGAACAGAACGACAGGAGGTACGAGTACTGGGTTTCACACGTCCGTTAAAAACTCAAAATCAAAACTGCTTCTCTGCATCAAAACTATCCGAGCTTGGAGGCTGCTGTGGCTTTAATCCCACGACTCGTCATCTGCTGGGCTCGGGACTTGCGGAGAGGAAAAGCCTGCTGTGCCGAGAGTGCTCTTGCCACGGAAATTCTTTAAGAGAAAGAGAGAGAGAGAGTTAGTGTGCTGACTCCTCAGGCTCCACGGCCCACACCGAGAACAGGCATTTTCCTCCCCAGGACCAGCTCTCTGGGGACAAGGCTCCGCTCCACCTGGGAAGTCAAGGAAAACACTTCAAGCCAACAATCTGGCAAAATGGAGAAACTTAAAGCTCTGACACCAATGATACGCACAACTACTTCATGATTCCTATGCTGTCTCTGTTGCCTAGAAACTGACACATCAGAAAAGATGTACAGCTGAAATCAGTTTGGCTCAGTGGATAGAGCGTCGGCCTGTGGACTGAAAGGTCCCAGGTTCGATTCCGGTCAAGGGAATGTACCTTGGTTGCGGGCACATCCTCAGTGGGGGTGGGGGTTTTTACAGGAGGTAGTTGATCGATGTTTCTAATTCTCTATCCCTCTCTATCCCTCTCTATTCCTCTCTGTAAAAAAAAATCAATAAAATATATATTTTTAAAAAAAGATGTAAAACTATGTCTCTAGAACTGTATTTTAGTAATAATGTGGCAAAAATTCCAAAAATAAAGAATTCCTACAGGAAGTTCAAATGATACCAAATTAGAATTTAAAATGCCAATACACTTGGGAGAGGGGGAGTGATGAGTATAAACCTTGATGTTACTTCCTCACCTTTAACACCAAAAACACCTATATATGGAATTTTAGAGATATATTACAGGAACCTTCTGGTATAAAAACAATGGCCCAGGCCAATGCTGGCGGTTCTCGGCACGTCACAGAGGCGGACATACGTCCACAGTGACTAGAAGCCCCGTCCGAACCACCCCACCAACCTTCCTGGTGTCCACCGACGTGAACACGTTCTCTCTGCTGCTCCCGCTGAAGCCGGGCATGTAGGTGCTGAAGGCGATCTCCTCCAGCCACGGGGGGACGTCCTGCTGGGCCTTTAAAGCAAACGAGCGGCGTGAACCACGTGCGCAGACGCACCTCAGAGACTGCGCCGCCTTCCGGAGTGCCCTCGCGCAGTGCCCACCTCCCGCTGAGGGAGACACTGGTGCAGCTTGACGACGGACACTTACATCCGACAGCACCTTCACGAGCGGCTGTGCCAAGGGCCTGTCTGACTCGGGATCGAAGAAGGAGACGGCTCTGCCCGTGTTCCCGCAGCGGCCGGTGCGCCCGATGCGGTGAACGTACTCGGCGATGGTGGAGGGCAGGTCAAAATTGATCACATGCTGGACGTTTTCGATGTCCAGGCCCCTGGCGGCAACGGAAGTGGCCACCAGCACCGGGCACTTCCCGCAGCGGAAGTCTCCCAGGGCCTGCTCTCGCTCCCTCTGCTCCCGGTCCCTTGGGAGAAAGGAAAGCAGGTATTTTAGGACAGCTCTGAAGAAAAGGATAAGGAGAGCCTTTAACGTTTGACCTGTGGATTTATTTTTAATACCAGTAAAAGCATTGACGTTAAATTCCTTTTTAATACCAGCAACATGTGACGCTAATGTTCTCTCTCACATACCACGTATCACACAGCTCCCCAATGCTCTGAGGCGGGGACACCATCCCCAGCTGCAGGTGGGGTACAGCTGATGCACACAGCCAAACTGTGAACTCCAGGATGACAGATGTCAAGTCTCACCTATTAGTAATCTCTATTAATAATCTTTCTAGTCTTGGAAGAAACACTAATTTGATTAGAATACTTCTTAAAAAATACAGGTTTCTGACAACGTATAGCCTCAGCATTCTACACAGTCACTGATTAGTTATTTCACACGTACACTCAGTGAAGGGCCAGTCCTGCCGGGTAACACGCTGTCGCACGCAGTGGGCCCAGGAGATAGATTCGCACAGGAAGCCATGGGCTGAGCACGGCCCTGCAGGGGCACCTTAGAGGAGTCCCCTCCTTGGGAGGAGGAGCCCTAAGACAGGACTGACCTCCTCGTCCCTGACACTGAGTTCACATAAAACCTTAAAGTGAAGAAGAACAGTTTTGTTTTGAGAATTCCGAACATGAATCCTAGGATTCTATCATATTCGTGGCACACACTCATGTTTCTGAACAATCGGCAAGTAGATCCCGCCTCCCTCCTAGGAAGTGGTGTTTGCCTACTCACCCATGAATGCTTGTTGTTGATATTTTTTCTTGACAAAGGAAAGTGGCAATAAAATCTGCTTTTTTCTTAGTTTCAACAAAGACCATCGTTCTTTCATCACCTACAATGAAGACAATGAAACTGACATGCAAATTAAAAACTCAGGAGAAGGAAAGGGGGCCGAGGAGGAAACCTCATCCACCAGTGCCTCTCAGCTCCTCCACCAACCGCCTGGTCAGATCAGGACACAAATATCCCCTCCTGGGTTGGGCTGGGGAGGAGAGAAATCCTCCCCAGTCGGCTGTTCAAGTGTGTACGGCACATATTTCTGAGGGACACCTGTATGTAAATACCAGACACCTTTAAAAAATGCTTTCTTTCTTTTGCTCACTTTTGGAAACCAGATGGTTTCTTGCCTTCTTCTGCCTCTTTCCCTTCAAACAGAGAGAGCAGCTACAGGGAGGAGGGAGGGCGGGATGTGCAGTCTGTAACGCACGCCATCCCACTCCCTGCGAGGTGGGAGGCCTTAGACGGCCCTCCTGGAAATTTTGTTTCAGGTACAGCCTCCAGTTACTCCCTCACACACAGAGACACAGGGGTGACTTCCCACAGGAATGGTTTTGGAAAGGGGAACTGGGTTTCTCCTCAGAATTGTGAGGAAGTAGAGTCAGGTCTTTTAGAGTCCCTTCCAGTGCCAAAAGGCTTCCAATCCATGAGCACAGGAGGCCTTCGGAAGCAAAAACGGGAACAAGAAATACAGCAGAGCTCACTTTTGTGGAGAAGAGCCTGATGTAAAAGTATGTTACTAAGCCTTTCTGTTTTCTAAAACAAACAAAAACCCATGTTTTTCTGCTGGAATAGTTTTTAGTCAAATACTGTTAAGCAAAGTCTCAAATTCTTCCTACTTTTAAGCTTTATGAAGGAGAAAGGACTACACTACTATATAATTTACACAGAAAACCAAATCATAAAAACAGCTTTAGAAAAAGAATGAAAATAAACTTCCTAAAACCCATCCCAAACAGCACTAACAGCAGCGTAAAAAAACCAGAACCAGAAGGAGAGGCCCCACACGCGCCGCACCTGTGTTCCGCAGCGTCTCCACCAGCTTCTCTCGCTTGGAGTACTGGCCCACCTGGAGCACCGTCTGCTGGACGTCTGTGCATGCTCCACCCACTTGTCCGACAGCAACAAACAAGTAGTTCAGCTTCAGAAACTCCCCAGCCATCCTGGAAAGACAAAGATTATTCCTTCACTTTACCTCTTCCATTAACACGCAAAAACATCTGCTGAAATCCTGCAAGACAGATCATAACAACTACAACAGAGGTAAATACTTATGTCATCCAAACACTCCTTTCAAAAATCAATATAAAATACTAATTTCTGCAAAATACATAACTAGTAGTGGAAAAGTTTGTGTCAAATAATGGACATAGTAATTCCAACTGCATGTGCTGCCCATAAAACTATAAAATGTGTGTATAACAATGAAAAGGATGCTCCACTGAAATGGAAGTTTATGCAAAAATTCTGTTCTTTGCTCATTGCTTTTATCATGTTAAATACTGTTTATCAAGTCACTAAACTTCAAATGAATTATCATGAACAAACCAGACCTCAGGTCAGTGCCTTTCACATTGTGACGCACATTAAAATCATACTTGAATAAACTAGGCAAAAAAATGAGGTAAGGGCCCAGAGGCCAGGCTAGGCGGCTGAGGATGCTCGCTCAAAGCGGGGCACCAGCATCTTTCCTGACAGGCACAAGGTACCCCGGAGACCTGGGAGGTGGAGAAGGGGAACTGGCAGTCACACAGCCGCGTCTGGGGGATGAAAGGGCAGATCCAAATCCACCTCAGTCCCTTTCTCTCCCTTGTTTCTAGCTGCCTCCTAGAACGCCGTGGAAATAGTTCTAACTCAGTGCATCCAAACTCTTCATCAACCACTGCTGCTCCTTTCTCCTCACCACCACCACAAAGAGGGAAGGGCTTCCTTCTGATCTACCTCCTTCCAGCAAGCACCCTCTCGTCCGTCCACCTCGACAGTTCCTTCCTGTCCTTCCTCCTCCTCATTCCCTACCCACAGTGTGAGTGCCTGCGCCAGGCCCACCTGGGGCTGGGCACTGGGAGAACCAAGATGAATATGACAGTCTTTGCCTCTGAGGTGTCACATCCATTTATATAAAAATAACTACTATAATATTTACACATTTTAGTTTTATAGTAGATATTTTAATGTATGTATGTAACAATCTAGTATTACAAAAGCATCTACTGAACATTTCTTACATTCCAATAAATGTACAATGTGTTTTAAACGGTTTAAAATGATGTCTATTCAGAAGAGTCTTCGAGTTTGCAGCTTGATCTGAGGAAGCAGCAGGTCAGAGTGTGGAAGAGGAATGGGTGGACGAGGCATTCCATGCCAAAGGAGAGGAGAGATGAGAACAGATGACGAGGAGGATGGAGTGCGGCCTGCTTGCCACAGGACGCCGCTCTCACAGAGCAGAAACAGACCGTTCCAGGAAGCAAATGGCAGGGGAGCGTTTGAAAGCTGCTAGTCTGCAGAGATGGGAAACATGACGCGTTTATTCTGAATCAATGTCCAAGAGGGTCAGACTTCATTTTAGAATTATTTCTAACGCAAAAGAGGGGGGCTGAGGGAAGGAGGCAGGTTGGAGAGCTACTGCCCTCAAGCAGAGGGAAACTGAAAAGGCTCTAAATTATGGCCGGAAACAGAGAAGAAACTAACAGATTCGAAACATTTTAGGGATAACTACCAAGTTGAATAATTTTCAAGGACAGAGATGTAAAGGGATGTGAGGGAGGATTCAACATAATTCAAAGGATTTGGGCTTAAAAAGACCGATCTCAATCAGGAAAACTGGGAAGAGGGAGGGGAAGAGGCTCAGCGTGGACGTGAGGAGCAGGAGTTGCTGGTGACACAGCCCACAGGAAAATGCCGCCAAGAGGTGAGAGCTGAGCGCCAGAGCTCAGGAGAGACCAGGGGTACGGGCAACAGGCAGGTGCCAGCCAGCGAAACGGACGCTGCAAGGCCCCAGCGAGCATGAAGAGAGGAGCACGGAGTCAGGCAGAAGACAGGGACGTGACCAAGGAGTCAGGAACTGAATGATACACACAACCCACGAGCAGGGAATCCACCCGACTTCCTGTATGTTCCCAGGCTCAGAATCCAACACGGCTCAGGAAAAGCCTCAGCAGACACTTCTGCCCGATGGGCACACATGGTCATTTGGCCCGGCTGACACCAAGGGCTTTCCTATTTCAAGGTAGACACGCAGACACTGGTGAAGGAACTTCCAGCCAGCCCCGTCTGAGGACCTGGGGTGTGTGGCCCCATGCGACTTCTACCAGGCCACGGCCCTCTGCAGAGCACAGGCGGCCCACAGGCCACAACACACTGGGCCTCTGGAGCTGCCACCGGACAGGAGCCGACGCCGCCCTTCCCTGTTCCCTGGAAAGCAGCCAGCGCCCCGCTTGAAGAGACCCTGTGAGGCCGGCATCACGCCACAGGCACAGGAACTCGGAATCAGGATCTTTCTGTGGGGCAGGGGCCTGGGCACCAATGGGTGCAAGCAAGAGAGGCCCCATCCCATCACTCCAGAGACCTGCCACGGAACCCGTGCTTCCTGCCCCCACAACAGGTCTTGGTCCCAAAGAGAGAACAGTCCCGCCTCTGAAAACAGCCGATTTGGGAGCCGACACTGCTGTCTGGGCACCGCAGGCTTGCACGGTTTTGGGACCGGCAGACCAAAAAAGAGTCAGCACACTAGCAGGGTTCTCAGACCACATCTGTCAACAGCTGCTATGCACATCTCCTCCCCAAGACCAGCTCCCCCAAGCTCTGTAACTGATGTGAAGAAAAGGAACAATTACAAAGACAACTTCATTGAGTAAGAACTTACTAAATCCTAGCTATGAGCTATGCTATAATACATACATGTTAATGCAAAACCAAGAACAAAGGTAAGAAACAATGAAACTTTTTAGAAATACATCTACTTTTTAAACTATTTTAAAATCTTAAAAAAATCAAATGTTTCTCAAAAAACATGTTGCTTGTTTCTATAAAAGCACTTATGTACATTACAATTAACTTTAGGAAGAAAAACAAACCTTTGAATTTCTTCTGGGAAAGTTGCACTGAACATAAGGGTCTGGCGCTGTTCCTTTGAAGGCATTCCTGGGCAGGAAATTAATTTCTTCATTTCTGGTCCGAAACCCATATCCAGCATTCGGTCAGCTTCATCCAGAACTAGGTGTCTGACTTGTCTAAGACCAATCTTTACAGGTATTTTCAAAGGTTAGAGCAGAGAATGCACACTAGTTAATACATTAAACTAAAATATTCTCCTTACTCCAACTATTAATATTTTCTTAAGGATAAAGATTAGAAATCAATGCAATGAGAATGGTTACACTTAGAAAATGCTTTACTGATTATTTCAGTTCTCACTGATCTCTGATGTTTTAAACATTTTATAAGTTACGATTAAAACCAGAACATCCATATCATACTGCACACAGGCCTTCCGGTACTCACGTGACAATTCTGCATCTTCGCTGCCTGACACACCAGCCGCGGCCACTGCAGCTACTCACGCACTTGACCTGTAGCTAGTGTGCCTAGGGAACTGAATCTTAAATTTTGTATCGTCTTTGAAGTTAAATAGCCACATGAATGATGAATTGGACAGCACAGATCTAGACTGTGTTATCTGATAAAGTCAGATTCCTTGAGGAATAAAAATTTCTAACATGATGACAAATACAAATGTCTTTTAAATGGCAATTTTTTAAAAAACTCCTTCAAACCCCGAATAAATTCTCTGTTCTCTAATCACTCAAGAACAACTGGGAAACGCCTCTGACCTTGAACCTTTATTGCTATAAAGAGCAGCACACTTTTGCAAACAGGAAACAAATGACTTTGGTACCACATGGGACATGTTTAGTGACAGGTTAAGATGGCCCTCTCTGGATGCTCTCTTTTTAACTTTATATTTATTGTTGACACTATTGCAGACGTCCCCATTTTTACCCCCCACTTGGCCCACCATCCCCGGCCCCTCTCCCCTTCCGACTGGCCACCATCACACAGCTGTGTGTGTCCACGGCCTGTACACAGACAGCATGTTCTCTCTGGCTAAGCCCTTCATCCTCTTTCATCCGTTCCCCACTCTCCCTCGCCCTCTGGATACTCTTAGTACGAATTCTAAGAGAAGTGCCTTGATGCAGAAAAAGCATGTTTGGAGTAACCTCTTTAGAGAAGAGCTAAAAAATAGCAAATCATATTCGTGAAAGTGAACTTAAAGTATTGTTCAGGGACGTAACAATGTGGGATGTGAAACCTAAAATCACAACATGGCCCTAAAATCTCCTTAAGGTCTTAGAAAATTAACAAGTCTGGTTACTATTGCTCCAACATTTAAATGAGAGACAAAATTATCATTGTCAAAGGCTTCCTCTAGGGCCATGGTCGGCAAACTGTGGCTCTCGAGCCACATGCAGTTCTTTAGCCCCTTGAGTGTGGCTCTTCCATAAAATACCATGGCCTGGGTGAGTCTATTTTAAAGAAGTGGCGTTAGAAGTTGTTTAAAAATTTTGGCTCTCAAAAGAAATTTCAATGGTTGTACTGTTGATATTTGGCTCTATTGACTAATGAATTTGCCTACCACTGCTCTAGGCGGAAAAAAGATTTCATTAAGACATACACTGAGTGGCCAGATTATGATGATCTCTGAATGTATAATAATTTGGCCACTCAGTGTGTGTGTGTGTGTGTGTGTGTGTGTGTGTGTGTGTGTGCCCAGTGCATGAATTTGTTCATGGGTAGGGTCCGGCCAGCCTGGCCATGGGGAGGGGACATGGGTGGTTGGCCAGCCTGCCTGCTGGTGGAACGCCTGGTCAAGGGGACAATTTGCATATTAGCCTTTTATTATAGAGGAAACACTGAGTGGCCAGATTATTATGCGTTCAGAGATCATATTAATCTGGCCACTCAGTGTATATGAAACTAAAGAAAAGCGTTTATCACATTTTTCTCCTAGTGTGGCTGGATATAGGATATGGATTCTGAAAACAGATCCAGATTCTACCCTAGCACTATTAACTTTCTAGAGCTAACTAGGGGGTTTTAAATAAATAACAAGATCATGTTGTTTGTTTCCCCGAGTATGAAATGAAAAATACTATTTATCTCCTGTTGAAATTATTTCAATAACACATTAAAAAAATGTGAGGGGGCTTGACATACAAATGGCTATAAATGGTGCTCTAATAAGTATCTCCTTCTTTATAACACTGTCTCCATTTCCCAAACCAAACTTAATTCGTCCACACAGCCTCCCCCTAGGGCCTACCTTTTCTTTACTGATGACATCCATCAGTCTCCCGGGAGTAGCACATAGCACATTACAGCCTTGGGTTATCTGTCGAACTGAATGCCCAAACTGGGTTCCCCCATATATGACAACAGCTCTTACACAAGTTCTATTGACAAGAAAAAATAGGTTATTTTCTAGTTACTTGAAAATTAGACACATATCTAACAAAATGAAAAGGCAAAATCCATAAAGACAAAATCGAATACATTCAACAACCTTTAAAAAATCAAATTCTTCCCAGAAATAAGTTGATAAATGAAAAACCATGGAAAAATATTTTATTACGTATCTGATAAAGAGCTCTTCAAAAACAAGGATAAACACCACCACTGCCCACACAAAAATAGGACAAAAACATGAAAAGATGATTCATTAAACGCACAAATGACCTTTAAATCTTTTAGTTACACATTATTTAAAAAAGGAAAACAAAAGAAGATTAATATAACATTTCTCCTCAAGTGTGATAACACCAGAAAAACCGTAGGGAAATTGGCACTCGAGGGGTAAACTGATGCCACCCATTTCACAACTGTAGTGACTATTAAAATTTAAAAACATATTTTTATTCCAGTAAGTTCACACATACAAATTTATCCTTCAAATATGTCCCCATAATGGGCAAAGATGACTGTATAATAATAAGATTTGGTGCCATCATTATTTTTAGTATTGAAAGATTGAAAACTACCTAAGTATTTAACAATAGAAAACTCAAATCACAGTCCATCCATCCAAAGGACTATCTTTCATAAAGAGAAAGGGTCAGCTCTGGAATAAGCAATACCACAGCAACGCCATTTACAATCACAGGCGACACAGCTGGTCACGAGGACTGAAATGCGCGTGTGGAGGAAGGTGGGCACTGCTCACTTCCTCCCATGGCCACATCAACCTTACGGCTGAACTGCAAACCCACCCGCCTGAGCATCAAGCTGAGGAAGCTGAGGAAGCTGAACAGAAGCTGACAGCCAGGGATCCAGAGGATGCCACCCGAGACTGGTAGGGACGGGGAGGTGCGAGAGGACTGGGCCCCTCCCACAAGCAGCTGGAACCAGGAAGGATGTCTCATTGCAAAGGTTCCCCCTTATGAGCGAGGGCCTCAACCCCACACCCGGCTCCCAGCCAAGAGTGCCAGAGCCAGGAAGAGGAGCCATAACCTCTGGCCGTAAAAATCAGCAGGGATTTCGACCTGTCCAGGTGAGACAGAGACACACGGGACGGACCGCATCGTGTGGCTCTGGATGTCGAGCCCTCTTACTGCAGGCCCACGGGCACCGTATTTCCATCAAGGCTCAACTCCCACCGGAGCCCACACCAGAGACTCCTGGAGAACTGGCCCAGGGGGTCGAGGAGACTGTGCCACTGGCCCCCGTAGGACCTACCAGTAAGGCCATCCTACCAAGACTGGGAGACTCAACAGTTCTACCCAATGCTCAGAAACAAACACAGAGAGAAGCCAAAATGAGGAGACAAAGAAATGTGCCCCAAATGAAAGAACTGCAGAAATCTAGAAAAAGAACTAAATGAAATGGAGGCAAGTAATGTACCAGATACAGAGTTCAAAACAATGGTTATAAGAATGATTTATTCATAGTAGCCCCAAATTAGAAACAACTCCAATACCCCCCAAAAGGGAAATAAAATGTATACACATAATTTTAAAGTCCTTAAGAATTAGGTCTAATTATGAAATAAGCAGTTTTCCATATTTATGTGTAAAAAGACAGAAAATTAGGAATACCTGAACTTAATTTTTTAAATTAAAAACTACCAGAGCCGAAACCGGTTTGGCTCAGTGGATAGAGCGTCGGCCTGTGGACTGAAAGGTCCTGGGTTTGATTCCGGTCAAGGGCATGTACCTTGGTTGTGGGCACGTCCCCAGTAGGGGGCGTGCAAGAGGCAGCTGATCAACGATTCTCTCTCATTGATGTTTCTAACTCTCTATTCCCCTCTCTTCCTCTCTGTAAAAAATCAATAAAATATTAAAAAAAAACACAAAAAACTACCAGAACATACACCAATATGTTCACTACTTTCTTATCATTCTATTATCATCTAATTTTTCACGAGCATGTTTCTTTTTACAAGTAAGAATAAGCAGGGATTCTACAAACAAGATTAGGAGAAGGAGCACTTCAATTGCGTTACATAACTGCCTTGTGACTGAGCTCTCCCCACACAGAGGAGAAGGTATTCCTTCTCAAAAGCAGCGCCTGCTGGGAGTGGCCTCGCCGCACTCACCCGAAGGAGAACTTCCTGGCCTCCAGGTAGATCTGGTTGATGAGCTCCCGAGTGGGGGCCACGATGATGCACTCGGGCTCCTGCAGCTCTCGGAAACGGCTGGCGGTGATGCCGTCACGCATCATTTGCGCCAAGATCGGCAAGAGAAACGCTGCCTGCAAGTTAAATGGCACAGTTTACAAATTGCCAGGCATCCTCTTTCACCCTCCATCATTTTGGTTTAGACACTACTGTGTTCCAGAAGGAGCTGAACACACTTAGGAAAATTAAACATGTTAACTGCAAAACTAGTCTAAAATCACTTCAAAATTCTTTCTTCAGAACTTTGCACACCCCAATAAAAGCAGAAACCAGAAGCAAAACCTTCAGTACAGTATTTACAACAGTTTAGGGACATCATCTTCAACTTCATTCCCACAAGAGATTCAAGCTCTTTGGGGAAGGAAGGACCCATGTTCAAAAAACATGAACCTGAGTGCGGGCAGCACACGAGGGGAGAGGGCTCACAGTTTTCCCCGATCCCGTCTGCGCACACGCCATCAGGTCTCGCCCTGCGAGGATAATAGGGATGCTGTACTTCTGCACAGGAGTGAGCTTCGTATAACCAGCCTTAGCAATGTTGTTATTCAGCGTCTGGCAGAGATTAGCTTCTTCAAACGTCTAGAAGAAAAGGGGAGTGATTCGTTTCCATTTGTCAACTGCCGATCATTCCATAAACATATTGCGTTTGTTTTCAGTTTTTCTAATTCCACTCTACATAATACACTTACTTTATTAACACAGCCCACTCCCAGTACTATCCAACCCGAACCCCTACTCCATCGCGTAAGGAACAGTTCCAGGAGACAGTGGTTCTAAAAGCAACTCTCTGCCCCCTGTAAGCCTACGAGACACAAATAACTGCTTTGTAACAAGGGCTCGTTATCAACAAGGTCCCACCCACTTTAGGAAATCGCTCCCCTCACCCACACTTTCTCACATACTTAGGAAGCACAACTCTTGCCTCTACAAGAAGTATCCTTTTTGGTAAATTTAAGTAAAATGTGCACCCTGGTTTAGAGTAGCCTTTCAACGTAGGACTTTACGCTATATAGATGGTAGACATGGTTTTAAATTTCCTAACACTTTATTTACTAAGATGAAATTCTTGTATTCTTTAGGATCAACTTAAAGGGATGTACCATTTATTTTGAAACCCCCAGTCTGAGACATAGTCAATACAGGGATAGTGATTACACTGACCAAGATCGCTGGTGGAACATCGTGTCCAGACACGTCCACGAGAATGCTGTCGTACTTGTCAAAGTTGATGCCTGTCTGGTAGTGTGCGAAGATGGCGTCCTCATCCTCGGGCGGGGCAGGTGGGACATAGGTCACTTTGGGTCCTTGGAATTCAATAATAAACAGAGGCTACATTACAGGACTAAAGAAAAGTAAGAGGGAAACAGACAAAACTGGCAAAATCAAACTTTAAATACTATAGAATTCCTCAGTATTCAGCATTAAAGTCCTCATTTCTAAGTTTAAAAAGTTAACTTTGCTTTTAAATATTCTGCGTTTTTATTAAAATGCAATACACATTCTGTGAATCACACAAAATTATGTACCTTGAATGTCATCACTTTCTGCTCCTTCAGTTCCTGACTTCCAAGAATCTTAAAAGGAATAAACCCAAAAAAGAGATCAATGTTTTTTCAAGTTGGGGGTGAAAGCTCTCGCTCTAGGAGTCAGACCCCCATCTATAGGGTGAGCACTTACTCTTCCCAGAGCCCGTGGCGACTTCTTCGTTTAGCCCCTTGTAACCACCTGGCAAGGAAACCCAAGTGACAATCAGTCAAGACCACGGCTGAGCCCACCTTTATTCCACTGCTTGTCTTCAAAGAGAACAAGTCTAAAAGCGGACAGGCGTCTTTAAAGTCCTTTTGCATAAACAATACTTGAGACAATTAAGATATGCAGAATCCTGAGCATTTTAAGTTTCCTTAGTATTCAAAATCCTGGTTTAATGCAGATGACCATGTTAAATATTACTGTTTTTTTTTTTTTAATTAAGCTGTTATGTCTCCTAATATCCTTCAAGCAAAGGGATTTTCTAAAAGTAACTAAGCATTCACCTGTGTTGGGGTGTCCCCCCAGCACCTCCAGGTCCCACCATTTCTTAGGACTCCAGCGATGACTTATTACAGGAAAAGGCCAGAGAGCAGAACCACCAAGGGGCAGTCAGACACCCAGGCCAAGCGCCATGTCCTCTCCCCTGTTGACACCCAGGACACGCTTCACCCCCCAGCAAGGAGCTGGGACTGCTGTCCGCAGAGGCAGCTCAGAAGCCTCGAGACCCAGGCTTTTTCTGCGGGGCTGACCATGCCACCACTCCGGCCTGCACGTCCACACCCCACCCAGAAGAAAGCAGGTGTCAGCAGAAGCCACATTGTTTCACAAACAGGTGAGCACAGTGAGCCACTCTGAGCATCCCAGACCCCACGTGCAGTGCAGGCAGGCCTGAGGAGCAGCAGGCTGCTACGCTAACTCCGCCCTGCGACCTTCCTACCTCAGGCACCGCTCCCCTCTGGGCTGCTGGGGGACCAGCACAGCCCAGCACAGACGGCACTCATGTGGAAAGCTAACAGATGGGGCCTTTTCCTGGAAGCACTATGCTTTTCTTGTCCACAGAAAGGTCTTGAAACGTTTCTTTTCAAACCACACAGGAGCATCTGGAGAAGAACCTCTTCCTAGAATCGGGACTCCAGGACCTGGGCGGGAGTGCTGCTCTGAATGCTCCCAGACTCGCCATGTCACTGAGGGGCTTCCAGACAGCCCACCAGCTTCACTGTTCAGCAGCCAGGAAAGCGTGACCCCTCTCACAGGACAGGAAGGATGTGGAATTGAAAACACCCCTCAGAGCACCCCGTCAGATATACTGAACTTTACCCCCCCTTCCCCCCACCAAATCATACTGTGTTAAATTAAACTTGTATTACAATAATTTTAACACTTCAGTGGTTAGAGCATTGGTCTGCCCACCAAAAGGCCACAGGTTCAATTCCTGGGCAAGGGCACTGGGTTGGGGTTTTGATTCCCAGTCCTGGTCAGGCATGTGTGGGAGGCAACCAATCAATGTGTATCTCTCACCTCATCCCCCAATCCTCCCTCCCTCTGTTCTCTAAAAATCAATGGAAAAATTATCCTTGGGTGAGGATTAACAAACAAATAAAAACACTCACCTCGCCCGCTCCCGCTCCTGCTTTGGAAGATGTCGCCATTGCCTGGAAGACAGGGTTTTGCAGACCTGAGAGAAAGCACCCCCCGTCCAGCGCACACACCACAGAGCTGTTCTAATCAAACCCTGAGCGCGTGCTCAGGACTAGTCCCTCGACTCTACCTCTGCAGTCTACATTCCATCTAAACCTTTTTCTCATCTGAATGTTTTCTTTTAAAACTTCAAATTTTTAGATCCCACTTCTAGGAATATACCCCAAGTACTCAGAAACACCCATCAGAAAGAAAGTCTGCACTCCTATGTTCATAGCAGCACAATTTACCATAGCTAAGATTTGGAAACAGCCTAAGTGCCCATCAGCAGATGAGTGGATTAAAACCTATGGTACATCTATATAATGCCATATTATACAGCTGTGAAAAGGAAAGAACTCTTACCATTTGCAGCAGCATGGATGGACCTAGAGAGCATTATGCTAAGCGAAATAAGCCAGTCGGAGAAAGATAAATATCACATGATGTCACTCATTTATGGAATACAATAACCAACATAAACTGATACATACATAAAATACACCCAGAGACAGAAAAGCATCAATCAGACCGTCAGACCTCAGAGGGAAAGTAGGGGAGAGTGGGGGTCAGGGGGAAAGATCAACCAATGAACTCATATGCATAGATGCATAACCCAAGGACACAGCCAGTGGGTGGTGAAGGCTTGGGAAAGGCAACGGGGGAGGGAGGAGGAGAGACAAATGTAATACTTTCAACAATAAAGACATTAACAAATAAACCTTCAATTTTTAGAGTAGATTTAGATTCATAGCAAAAATGAAGATAGATATGGGGATTTCCCATTTCCTCCTGTCTCCACGGGTGCACACCCCTCTCCCTGTCTATCAACACTCCCCAGGGTGCACCTGTCACCACTGAGACCCTTCACTGACACGTCCTCACCCCAGAGGCCAGAGCGGACAACAGGCTCACTCTGCTGACCATTCTGTGGGTTTGACAACCATGGAAGGACGAGTATCCACCACCACAGCGTTCCACAGAGTAATCCCTCTGCCCTGAGCTCCCTCTATGCTCTGCTCAACCCTCCCACTGCCCCTCCACTGCCCTGAGCACCTCCATGCTCTGCTCAACCTCCCACTGCCCCTCCCACTGCCCTAAGCTCCCTCTATGCTCTGCTCAACCCTCCCACTGCCCCTCCCACTGCCCTGAACACCTCCATGCTCTGCCTGCTCAACCTCCCACTGCCCTGAGCTCCCTCTATGCTCTGCTCAACCCTCTCACTGCCCCTCCCACTGCCCTGAGCACCTCCATGCTCTGCTCAACCTCCCACTGCCCTGAGCACCTCCATGCTCTGCCTGCTCAACCCTCCCACTGCCCTGAGCTCCCTCTGTGCTCTGCTCAACCCTCCTACTGCCCTGAGCACCTCCATGCTCTGCCCAACCCTCCCACTGCCCTGAGCTCCCTCCATGCTCTGCTCAACCCTCCTACTGCCCTGAGCACCTCCATGCTCTGCCCAACCCTCCCACTGCCCTGAGCTCCCTCCATGCTCTGCCCAACCCTCCCACTGCCCTGAGCACCTCCCGCTGACCCCAAAATGCCACCGTGCTCCTTTTCTAGGAGGACAGGGAGTTGGGATCAGAGGTGCGCAGCCTTTCCAGGTGACTCTGTCACTTAGCAACAGATATTGAAGGTCCCTCCACATTTCTGCATAGCCTGGTAAGCAGCTCATTTCGTTTGAATGCTAATAGTCCATTGTCTGGATGTACCACAGTTTATGTACTCACATTTGAACATTATTCATCAATAATTGTATTCTTAGTTCATTTTCTTCTAAAATCTCCAAACTCAGAATCACTTCTTTGAAACGAATGCAAAATTTATTTTCCTTTCTCTAATTAAAAGCACAATTTATAACTCAAATTAACTGGTAGATAGGAGAGAAGAAATAATTCACAGTGTATAAATTTTATGAGGCAAAAATGTCCATGTATTTTTGCCTACAGATCTAGAAAGCAGAAAAAAATCATGAGCCAACCTCGCATACTTAAACATATATGCTAGGTTTACCAACCCTCGTGCTGAATGCATATGGAAACGATTACTATTCAATAGTGAATTCTATCTCTCACCCGGGCCACTAAACGCTGGTCTCCTGGATCCAAAGAGGCCGCCAGTGCGTGGCATCCCCTCGTCTTGCTCACACTCGCTGTCTAGATTTACAGATGATAAAGTTAGATTACTTGTTACTTCTAAGACGTTTTAAAATCGTGGGTAAAAAGAAAAAATGAAGTTATAGTGCCAAGAGTTAAAAGATGTGGATGAAATAGTCAAACTGGAGGCCCCGTGCACACTGGGAGTCACCTGAGTGTTAAGTATTGCACACTGGTTTTCTCCACAAATTATTTCCTTCAGGAGCCAGAAGGCGGCCACCTACTGACAAGGTCAGCCACATTAGCATGGCTCCCAAACAATTCTGGGCATAACATTTAAGAGCTGAGACACACAGACGCCTACAAAGACGCATGCTCTCTACATAAGCAGGATGCGTTCATGTAACACATGTGTAATGTAGGTGGCTGTGCCCCCACTCGTGCGGGGCCATCCTAGCATCCTCCCAGCAACCCCAGGGGATAGGCCTGTCTGCATCGTGTCCTCCTCACTCAACCGCACCATTTGCACCCACTACTCACTTGGACTTCCCAGGCCAAACCCTCCACGGCAACCTCGGAAGCCACCTCGTCCACCTCTTCTGGGTGGTGCCGAAGCTTCTGAGTCATTTCCATCCTGAAAGCCTAAAACAGCAACATGCACGTGATCAGCACAGAACAGATGCTCGGGGGACACAGTTTAACTTGAGCCTCGCATCATTCAATGATGTTACATATTTTAAGGCATGAACAAGGAGTCACTGAGAAGAAACACCATATCCTATATAATAAAAGTCTAATATGCTAAGTGTCTGGTCACCCATTCAACCAACCAAAGAGTAATATGCTAATGATAGGCTAAGGCTGCTTAACCACTTACTATGATGTGCACTGACTATCATGGGGCAGACAGTTGACCAGCTGCCATGACATGCACTGACCACCAAGAAAGGTTAGTTTGCTGCTTGGGTGTGGCCAATCGGGACTGAGCAAGATGGGCTGGACATTCCCTGGAGCCCTCCCATGGTTCCTCCCTGGCGTCTCTCCCGGGCCCTGACTGTGCACCTGTGGGGTCCGTTGGCCTGGCCTGCACCCTCTCTTGCAATCCGGGCTGAGGGCCCCCTTCCCTCGAGTGCATGAGTTTTGTGCACTGGGCCTCTAGTTTGACTATAAATGTTTAACCCTCCTACTATGAATAGATCTGGCTATAATTTTTTTTAAAAAAACCCCAGCAGGCTTTAGGAATCAAAACTAAAGGTGACCATAAGGAAGCAGGGTTGCCACAATTGCATCACTAACAGAATGTATACAGTCCGCAGAGATTACATAAATCTGTGCCTCTAATTGCTCCTACAGGAAAGAGCAAACATGATATTCAAAGCAGACATGTAGGCACACACACAGTGTGACTTCCTGTTACAAACAACACATTTTTAACTCAACTGAATAAAAAAAAAAAATCAGTACAGCCGAAACCGGTTTGGCTCAGTAGATAGAGCGTCGGCCTGCGGACTAAAAGGTCCCGGGTTCGATTCCGGTCAAGGGTTCGATTCCGGTCAAAGGCACGTACCTTGGTTATGGGCACATCCCTGGTGCGGGGTATGCAAGGGGCAGCTGATCAATGACTCTCTCTCATCGATGTTTCTAATTCTCTATCCCTATCTCTTCCGCTCTGTTAATAAAAAAAAAAAAAATCAGCTGAGACTGGTTTGGCTCAGTGGATAGAGCGTCGGTCTGCGGACTGAAAGATCCCAGGTTCGATTCCGGTCAAGGGCACGTACCTTGGTTGCGGGCACATCCCCAGTAGGGGGTGTGCAAGAGGCAGCTGGTCAATGTTTCTCTCTCATCGATGTTTCTAACTCTCTATCCCTCTCAATTTCTCTGTGTAAAATCAATAAAATATATATATTTTTAAAACAATAATATATATATTAAAAAAAGATTTTAAAAAATCAGTACAAATAGTTCAAGTAAAATGAGATCCCACCTATGACAGATCAAGATCAATTTAAAACCAAGATGCCAACTGGATAGGAATGTTTAAATTATGTAGTTTTGAAGTTGGAACTATTTATAGTTAAAGAAACTAATCAATAAAAATTCTATAGATGCTATTTCTTGATACTTGGTGCTATGTATGCCTATTTATAAAATGGGGCTGACAGCTCTGCATCTATCACCTCCCTCCCCTCTCCTCAATCCAGCCACATGTTATTGATCAACACTGACACCCACCTTATTCTCCTAAGTGCTTATCTGTGCCTCTTTTATCTTTTAAGAAACCCTGTCAGAATTTCTCTTCAAGAAAGTCCTTTTGATCTGCTTTTCTACTTTTAGGCATAACTTACTTCCTTGCTCGTGTGTGTAAATAAAAGAACATACAAAACATGAACGTTTAAAATAAAATGAAAACTTATGGATCCGTCATCCAGTTTAAGAGTAAACAGTCCCTGGTACCTTTGTCCTATGATGCATCTCTTCTTCCTGGAAACCCCCTCTCTACCCCCCACTATACTGAGTGGGTTTCCATTTCCTTGCTCTTGTTTTAATTTGACCAATTATGTACTTCTCTTTACTCAAGACATGGTTTAGTTTTGTTTCTGAGCTTTAAATAATGGGAACATGTTTAAACACATTTGTCATGCCTCTTTTATTCACCCGTTTTGGCTGCTGTGTGGAACTGTACTTGCTGAACAGCTCTCCATCGTATGCTCCTATTTCATTCGTGTCTAATCTTTAAGTAAAGTGAACTTTCTTCCTCCTTTCTTAAGGTGAACACCCATCTAATTTCTTTTCTAATGGATGCATTTAAGATTATAACATTTCCTCTAAAAAGCCAGCTGTGTCAGCTATATCCCGTAAGTTCTGACATGCTGTTTTTACTGTCACTCTGTTCTAAATACTTCATTATTTCCACATGCATTGTTCTGCATAAACTGAGAAATTCAATTCCTAAACCACAAGCATTAGGCTTTTTGTTCTAATTTCATTGTTCTTAAACTTTCTACTTTAATTGTTCTTTAGCAAGAAGACATGGCCTTGATATAAATCCTATGCTGCACTTTTTAAAAAATATATTTTTATTGATTTTTTACAAAAAGGGAAAGGGATAGAGAGCTAGAAACATCAATGAGAGAGAAACATCGATCAGCTGCCTCCTGCACACCCCCTACCAGGGGGGATGTGTCCTCAACCAAGGTACATGCCCTTGACCAGAATTGAACCTGGAACCCTTCAGTCTGGAGGCAGACACTCTATCCACTGAGCAAACCAGTTGCAGCCTATGTTGCACTTTGAAACTTCCTTTTGGCCTTGATAGTTAAATTCTACATATTTTTCCATACACTGGGAAAGAGTATGTAATTTGTCCTTTGGGGGTGTATTATTCCACACAGAAATATTAAATCAAGCCTAGTAACTGGTGTTCAAATCTTCTATTGTCTTATTCTTTTCCATTCTGCTCAGTCTATCAGTTTCAGAAGAAAAAACGGTTTAAATCTAGAATTAAGCGTTTAACTAGGATTTTCAAATTGTTACTTCTATTTTTGCTTTATATACAGAATATGTTGTTAGATTCAAACCATGCTCAGAACTGTAATGTCTTCAGAGTGGGCATACCTTGTATCATTAATTACTTATCACCAACATGTAAGTCTTTTTATCTCCTGCTAGAGGCCCAGTGCACAAAATTCGTGCACAGGGGGACAATGTGGGGGCAGTGTCCCTCAGCCTGGCCTGCACCCTCTCCAATCTGGGATCCCTTGGGGGATGTACAACTGCTGGTTTATCTGTCAGCAGTTGGATATCCCTCTTGCAATCCAGGACCACTGGCTCCTAACCACTCACCTACCTGACTGCCTAATGCCCCCAACAGCCCTCCTCTGCTGACCTGCTCTCATCCCCAACTGCCCACCCCTACTGGCCTGGTCACCCCAACTGCCCTCCCTTGCTGACCTGATCACCCCTAACTCCCTGCCAGCCTGATCTCACCCCAACTCCTCTCCCCTGCCAGCCTGATCTTGCCCCTAACTGCCTCTGCCTCGACCCCCACCATCATGGCTTTGTCTGGAAGAAAGTAGAACCGTCTGGAAGACGGCCAGTTGACCCAGTCTAATTAGCATATTATCCTTTTTTAGTATAGATTTCTATATCAGCTTCTTCTGGTTAATACTAACACTTTTTCTCTTTTAGTTCTGCAATAAAATATATTCATATAATATTGTAATTATCAACATATGAGTTTTTATTTCTACAACTTAGTGTTCTTAACTGAATTTCAATGCTTCTTGTGCCCCTTTTTGTTCTATTAGATCTCCCCAGTTGCTGTATTTTATTTTATACTTTTACTGATATCCTTTTATTTCACCACAAATACTTAAGTATTTTAAATATTATAAACCTAAACTCCTTCCTCCAAAGCTCTGTCCTTCTATTGGATTTCCTTCACCAGGAAGCTATGTTTTATTTATCCTTTTTCTGATCACCCTTAAATTCTACCATATGTAAATTATTTTCAATCGATTCTCCTTCCTACTGAGTGGGCAAAAACAAAAACAACAAAAAAAAGACAAACCCATACACACACACAAAAAAAACAACAACAAAAACAAGTCTTTGCTAGTATTTTAATTTTCTTGTTTCTAAAACCGCCCAACTTACTCTCAGCAGCAGCAGCAGCTTATATTAGGGTTACCAACTTTAAAATGTTTGTTTACTTACTGAAGGCCTGGTACATGAGATTCGTGCACTGGTGGGGGAGGTCCCCCTCAGCCTGGCTGCGCTCTCTTGCAATCTGAGACCCCTCAGGGACAACTGCCTATGGTAAGCAGGCCTACGCTGGCAGTTGGACTTTAGTGCTGCTACAGAGGCGGGCGAGGCTCCCCCTGTGGAAGCGCACTGACCACCAGGGGACAGCTCCTGTTGAGCATCTGCCCCCTGGTGGTCAGTGCGTGTCACAGCAACTGGTCATTCCACAGGTCATTCTGCTATTCAATCTATTTGCATATTAGGATTTATTATGTAGGATGTGGCTCATCATTGCTTTCTACTCCTTTCTTCCTGCTCAGTCCCTCTTTACTTAGACAACTTAGCACTTCTCTCCTCGATGGTCTGAGTACTAAACGCGGTCTTTGTCTGCTTGGTACCGTTTCTCTCCAGCACCTGAACTGCATGAGCTCATCCACCTGCGCTCAGAACTCCTCTCCCTTGCCTTCACCAGGAAAACACTTCTTCTCTCAACCTACTGATCTTCAGGTGCATCTTTTCCCCCTGGGATTTCTAGTGTGTGTTTTTTTTTTTAATCTTTTAATATTGTAATTTCAACACATGTGTAGGGTGTGAATTTGTTATTTAATTTGCTTGGGACTCACGTGCCTCATTACACTGGAAAAGTCTCATCTGTTATCTTCCTTCTTCCCCTCTCTTATCTCCCCCTTTTGTGCTCTCCTCACCTGTGCAGGCACATGTTGGAATAAGAGCACTTCTCAGTCTATCTTCCAAAGCTGGTAACAGCTTTCAGATTTTTCAAATTTAGAGAATTTCCTCCTCCGATCTACCTTCATTAGTTCTATTCATCTGTGTTTAATATGATGAATCCAGCCATCATTTCCCCAACTCTGTTCTTTTCTATAAATTCAATTTGGTGCCTTTTCAAATCCACCTTCTCTGTGGAGCCCAAGACCCTATGATGCCCCAGTACCTCTGGTGTCCACAGCTTAATGGCCCATCCAGCAGAGGCTCTGACTCCTAAGTGGATATGCATGAGTGATGCCAGTTCCCAGTTATATACAGAGTCTAGGAACTCGAGGTGAAAAGAGCACAGGTATTCTGCAGAATTAAACATCTGCACAATCTTCTTTCAAAGGCAGGGGCAGAAAACCACATATCCTACATGGTCTTAAAATCATCATCTTTGCCTGGCCGGTGTGGCTCAGTGGTTGATGTTGACCTATGAACCAGGAGGTCATGGTTCTATTCCAGGTCAGGACACATGCCCAGATTTGCAGCCTTGATTCCCAGTGTGGAGTGTGGAGGAGGCAGCCGATCGATGATTCTCTCTCATCACTGATGTTTCTCTCTCTCTCCCTTCCTCCCTCTCTGAAATCAATAAAAGTATATATTTTTAAAATAATCATCTTTGTCAAAATAAATGTTAAGCAAGAGTGAAATATTATAATAGTCAAAATATATAAACTTAGAGCTACACTTTCAATACATAAATCTTTTAAAATGTTGAAGAAAAAGTCATTAAGAGGTATAATATTAAACCTTTCAAAAATACAGATAGTATGCACACCAATCTATCTATATAAAAGCCAAAGTGACCATTTGACCAGTAACTATGATGTGTGGTGACCACCAGGGGGCAGACACTCAACGCACAGGCATGAAAACATGGAACAGACTGATGAATCTCAGAAGAAGGGGGGAGGGGCGAGGGCAGGAAGAGATTAATTAAAGATCTTATATGCATACTAGAGGCCTGGTGCACAGATTCATGCCCTGGCGGAGTCCCTCGGCCTGGCCTATGGGGATCTGGCTGAAACTGGCAGTCCAACATTCCCCGAGGGGTCCCAGATTGCGAGAGGACACAGGCCAGGCCGAGGGACCCCACCGGTGCACAAATCCGTGCACGGGGCCTCTAATGTCAAAATAAGTTCTCACCTCCCATCCCTAAATAAGGCTACACGGAAACACTGGCAGGCTGCCAGGCAGCCAGCTGACCCTTAGTGACCAGGGAAAGAATGTCCCTAAGCGGCAGCGAGAGCACCGGCACATGTGGGCACCATGGAATGCCTTCCACATGGGAGACTGACCCTAAGGAGCTCTGCACACCTGGAACAATTCTGTACGCTCACGAGAGTTTCTGTGGCTTTGTTGCAGCTGTTTTAACAGGTCTGCCTACAGATTATCAAGAATTAAGCATCACAACTGGTATTCCATCTCACATCTGCTTCGTTAAAGGCAGGATTAATGGGGTATAGGGGAGCCCCATTAGACCAGAACAAAAGTAACTTATAATTCCTTTGCCCCCATGTTTCTGGTGACTGCATGCAGGACAAAGACCTCCTAGCCCATCTAAACTGTGATTGACCAGGATCCCGTCAGCCCGCCTGCTCTGCACTTCACAGCACGTGCCGGGGAACTGGGGGAACCCAGCGACAGAAGCGGAAAGAGAGTACCTTTTCAAGATTCACCCACGTATTAACAGCACAGGCCATTTGCCAACCTAGTTTTCTTCAAAGGTTTGCACCACCAGAACTTCCCTCTCTTTCATCTCTTCCAAAAGCAGTTTGCCAGCTGAGCATCAGTCACCAGTGCACATTGTTCCAAACCTGGTCCTTACCTCCTCTCCTGGAGAAGCCCCTGCTCCGCGCCGGAGTGTCTTCCCCGAAGTTATTAGACTCTTGAATAAAAGTTTAACATGTAAATAGCATCTCAATTAACTTCAAAGATGAAATATCAAAATTTAACACTGTCACCCCTGAAATTACTATAGAACTATATGTCAATTGTGACTAAAAAATAAATTATTTTAAAATTGTTTTAATAAAAATAGCACCATCAAGAGCTAAATTAGTAAGAAAAACATTTTCATAAGTTAACTTACAAACAATTCTTAAAACATTTTAACAACAGAAATATAAAGACATTATTCAGTCTGTCCCCATGCAAATCGCCAACTACAGCCAAATACTGGATGGGAGGTGTGTAACTGAGCACCCTGTGCCCAGCGCAGGGCACAGCCAGACGTAAGCATTTCATGATTGCCCACTTGACTAGAATAGTTTCAGAAATATCTCAACCATTAGTCGTCGCAAACATGGTCCGCAGACACTAGAAGCACATGACTGTTCTTTTATGGGTCATCCTTATGTCTGTACTTTGCATGTTTAACAAATCTGAGACATCAGTGTTTTTTAAAAAAAAAATGCGTGTTTCCCCATTCTTGCTAATGAAAAAATGAGGGGATATCCTGGCTTTTCTGAGTTTATTGACATTACCAGGGTTTCTAAATGCTTAAGAATTGTCTGGAGCCGAAACTGGTTTGGCTCAATGGATAGAGCGTCGGCTTGGGGACTGAGGGGTCCCGGGTTCGATTCCGGTCAAGGGCATGTACCTTGGTTGGGGGCATATCCCCAGTAGGGGTGTGCAAGAGGCAGCTGATCGATGACTCTTTCTCATCGATGTTTCTGACTATCTCTCTCTCTTACTCTCTGTACAAAATCAATAAAATATATTTAAAAAAAAAAAAAGAATTGTCTGGAAATTTTATTAAAAATAAATTCCCAGGGCCCACCTCCAGACATGTTGACTTTGAAAGTATAAAGTGATAGTGCTCCAGAAACGGGACAGACTAAAATGCTCCATCTTAGTTTCTCTTTAGCATGTACTCTAGACATTAAATTTTAAGTTACTACAAAGACACTGAACTCACCTCTCCAGAAGCCAGAGCTATCACCTTCTTCAAGCTTGTCAGTGGGAAAACCTGTAACATTTAAAGTGAACTTGCAAATTTCTCAAAACAGTCATTACCTGTACTCTGTGGTAAAACAAAAAACACCTTCCGGGAACTACTTGTTATGGTGTCCCTTTAGGGCAGGGCAAACCACAGACAACTAATATAAATACTGAAGAATTCACATAGATTGTATTACAATTTCTCCCTTGTGTCAATTTATTAATATATTTTTAAGTCCTCACCTGAGGAAATATTTTTATTGATTTTAGAGAGAGAGGAGGGGGGAAAGGGAGAGGGAGGGGTGGAGGGACAAAGACACTGATGTGAGAAAGCCTCTCATGCATGCCTGACTGGGACTCGAACTCACAACCTTCTGGTGTGTTGGGCGACACTGCAGGGAACCCGTGGCCCGGAGAGGCTGCCTGTGTCAGTTATTGAGGGGAAATGTCAGCGAGTGTTCTAGGCCTCAGGTGTCATAGACCCTCTAGATGTACATGGGCCAAACAGGGGTGCATGTCAGTATTACTACTATATACTTTCAAGTCCATTTACCAAAATTTTAAAAATTTATAAATTAACTCAATTTCTTTATGTGCCAGAGGATAGTACAACTAAATTGTAATCCAATATTCAGTAATTTTTCCCTTCTCAGTAATAAGAAAATTCTGCCAAATCCTTGTTTATAAAAAAATTTTTTTAACCTTTCACCACCAACCTTTGCTTTCAATTTTCTCCTTTAATAAAAACCTGTGTCTAGACTTATGCATCTCTGGAGCCTATAGACATGTCTCTAAAATCAATTCTAAATATTTTACAGCATTTTAAAATGTTGAGTCTTAATAGAATAATCTTTAGGGCAAAATATATTCAAAAATTATATACTTTAAAATTAGTTATAAAATAGGATGTCTGTCAATTAGTATTAAATCTAAATTATAAAATATTAAATTATAGTTTATGTAATTCAGAGACTAACAAATACTGTTTGACAGATGTTAAATTCATATGAAAATGTATACCTATCAAGTCACTTAACATCTCAGGTTCAGCCCTGACCTAACATCGCTTCCAGCATTGCTCTCCGCAGCTTGAATACCCCATTACAGTACTAGTGCCTGGGCTTTGGGTGTGACTGGGTGACAAAGATGTCTTTCTTAGAGCAGATGTCGTTTCAAAATAAAGATAATCCTACAGAAAGCATGGACCGTCACGGATCTAAGTCTTCAGTTCCTTTATTCATTGAAATGCTGGCAATCTTTGCACTGCCCTCTGTAGTGGCCCCGTTCCTGCTGTCCTCGCTTCCCTCAAAAGCCAAGTGCTGGTTTCCACATGCGCAGGAGAGTCTCCCAGTTACACCTACTGGCCTTGAGGCTAAACTCTATTCTTGATCTAGTTTTTAAAGGTTTTTAGGAAGAAAGTTTAATCTTCAAAGCTCTCTTTGCTCCAAATCACCATGGAAGTATGGCCTGGCCTCTTGTCTGGGAGGGGCGGGGAGTCTTGAGTACAGAAGAAGAGAACTGGGGTTCACCTGTGGTGTGGGTCAGCAGGAAGAGATGCTGCACAAGGAGCTTGGCCAGTAAAAAAAACTACATGGAAGAGCAGACACCCCAGAGCAGCACAGACGGCTGCTCTAACCGAAGTGGTGGCACCCCCAGGAGCTGCAGATTCCTGGGGAAGGCACACACTTCCTGGGTGCGTCACAGGGAGACAGGAACTCAAAGACGGAAGGACTCGTGGTCCCTCAAGTTCTGACTGCAAGACATCACAAGCAGGTTACCTCTGTTTCCAAAACCCTTTCCAACTCCAAAGCCACCCATCGTGGGCACGCTCTCCCTTTTATTAGACTCGCCGGCATCTGAAAGAGTTCAGGGGACAAGGCTTTAGCAGGGAACTGTGAGCATGTCATCCAAGCAGAGATCAGAACAATCTGGGAGACTTTAGGGATAGGGAGAGAGAAGTACAGAAGCTTATGAGATGTACTTAACACACACCAACTTCTTTTAAAACTCTTAAACTGTGACACCAAGGCAAAAACATAAACATACCATGAAATACAGCGTTAGACTAGTTATTTTACTAGTAACCTTTGTTCAGAAAATTCAACGCTTCCTTTCAAAAAATATATTTTTACTGATTTCAGAGAGAAAGGGAGAGGGAGAGAGAACTAGAAACATCAATTATCAAAGAGAATCATTGATCAGCTGCCTCCTGCACGCCCCCTACTGGGGATCAAGCTCACAATCCAGGAATGTGCCCTTGACCAGAATCAAACCTCAGTCTGCAGGCCGTCGCTCTATCCACTGAGCCAAACAGGCTAGGGCAACTCTGACATTCTGTATAGAAACCTCACCTGAGAGAGAGCTATTGACACTATGCCCAAGGGGGGAAGTCTTTGCTACTCAAAATGTTGTTATACTCTGGTCCTGTATCCAAATTGCTCTAATAGTAATGCATTTTCTGTGTGAATCCCTCTCACTCCACTGTCCTAACTGAAAGGGAAGGGGCCACAGATAAAAAAATAAGCTGAGTGCCATTGCCCTTTGCGTCCTCTCCCTGCCACAGATGTCCCCACACGAGCCTCCTGCCAATCACCACCGCCACGGCAGTACACGCAAGCCACGCCCCCAGGAGCTTCTGTGTGCTGCTCCTGCAGTGCAGCGGGCCTGCTTTTCTACTCTCCCTATCAAACTATCTTCACTCTACAAATTCTTCTTCCAAAGGCCACCTCTTGGTGAAGTTTCCCTTTAGTGATCCAGTCAGAACCAGCCCTTCCCCCATATCCCCAGCAGCACTGCATTCCTGTGTTTCTCTCCCATTGTATTAAGAATGTCAAGGGCAGCCAAAACCGGTTTGGCTCAATGGAGAGCTGGCTTGGGGACTGAAAGGTCCCGGGTTCAATTCCGGTCAAGGGCATGTACCTTTGTTGCGGGCACATCCCAAGTAGGGGATGTTCAAGAGGCAGCTGATGGATGACTCTCTCTCACTGATGTTTCTAACTATCTCTCTCCCTTCCTCTCTGTACAAAATCAATAAAATATATATTAAAAAAAAAAAAAAAAGAATGTCAAGGGCAGAGTTGCTATGGCAAGTAGCAGGGTTATTTAAAACAAAACATTGTAACAGACACCCAAGCAGCTAAACTGCCTTGCACTTCATGCCTGGGAAAGCGGAAGCGCAGTTCCTGATCCTCGCCCACTGCTAGCCATCTCTGTAACATCCAACACAACTCCTAAAGCCACATGCAAAGCTGTGTCTGAGCCACGTCAGCCTCTTCATCAGACTCTCAGGGGGTGTGTGATTGGAGAAGTTGGGCTATTTAGGCCCTACTACACAGAACAGGAAAAGCTAACCAGTGTTGTATTTTAAGTGGTTAAGAGTCATTTTCAAAAACATATTACTAGATATACAAGTTCTGAGGGGAAATAACATGGACACTGAAACGAGCTAAAAAGTCAGATGAGTCGTAAGGGAAATATGGAGTATAAAGTTCACTTTCTAAAGTATTAGCACTCAACAAAGAGTTTTGATCAGAAATGTAATGTGTATTTCAACCTAAAACATATGGAATTAAAAATCTGTTTTAGCCCAGCTGGCGTAGCTCACTGGTTAGAACCAAGAGGTCAAGTTTGATTTCTGGTTGCTAGATTCCCAGTAGGAGGCATGCAGGAGGCAGCCGATCAATGATATTTCATCATTGATATTTCTCTCTCATCACTGATATTTCTCTCTCCCCTCTCCTTTCTTCTCTGAAATCAATAAAAATATAATTTTAAAAATTGTAGTAAAATGTCTGTTATGGTTTTCTCATTAAAATGGCTTTATTCAACAGTGTTTACGAGTCATCATGAAAAATATCACATAACCTATTCTAAAATAGGGCCGTAAACTAGATCTAAGTATTAAACATTCCTTTGAGTATAATATGAAAACATTTATTATTTCTAATGTTAGTAACAGCAAACAAAATCCACACTTGAACCTCTTGGCAGAATTATATGGTCCAAATCATCAGTGCCTCTTAGTTAACGCATAGGTTTAAAAAACAGTATATGCATCTTTAAAGAATAAATTATATCCATTAGTAGTAGGAATATGTCAAAATATAAAATTCATATTTTTGTTAACTGTATCTAAACAAGAAATTAAGTTTTCCAAATATCAAATAAAATACCACACACATCAACCTCTCATTTCCAATGAATAAAAACATCTAGAAATATCCATAGTTTTCAAAGAATATCTAATAAATTCAATAAGTGCTATGTGTATTTAAAGCTACAATTAGTCCTAGCATATGATAGTTCATAAAAACAATAGTCACATATATTTTTAAATATATTTGAGATCCTAATATTTTATTTCACTATAAAAAACTATAGTGCAGAATATTTTCAGCATTTTATTATCAAATCTAAAGATGAACCGTGGGAAGGTTGTGTCATTATCTGTCAGATCAAGTTCTAAAAGTAAAAAAAAAAAAAAAAATTCAAACTTTGAAAAATAAGCTCTTGCTACTGAGATGACAGAAATGCTTCCCATGAGAAACATCCAGCTGAAGGAGGAGCTCCCTCTGCCCTGCCTCTGAAGCTTCCACTCTCCCGCCAGTTGGTGGGAATCAACTATCATAAAGGCTTTAAGCAGCCGCTTTGTGAAGCAACTCTCTTTAACCCATCTGTCTAAGCAGTTCCACTATTTCCTGCTAAGCCATAGAAGTAAGACAGGAGCAGGAACAATGTTATTTGAGAAGATGATGACTGCATTAGCCACGAGAACCCACTGTCACCAAATCAAACAGACCTGGCTTTGCACTCAGCAGCCACAGGAGCCTCGACTCAGCCCACAGCTCACCACTGACGGATTAAGGGGAGACAAAGCCACTTACCTCTGTTTCCCAAGCTCCTCCCAGAGGCAAAACCACTTCTCATGAAATGATCTCTTCGAGAAGGTCCATCATCAATTTCTAAAGCAAATAACATCATGAAAAGAGTCAAAATAACAAGTATCTTGGTGGTGCGCACACTTCACACCTTTCCAATTACCCGCTCACATGGCGGAGGTGGCGTCTTCATTAGGAATGGAAAAGATGGATGGCCTAGCCCTAGCGGAAAAGGGCTATGAATAAGAACAGGTAGTTCTCCAGACAGAAATCAATGTGATCACCACTGCAATCGGCTCCACCTCATGGCAGGGATCCTGGCAGGCCCCCAGCAGCCTGAAAGCCAAACATGCAGCACCAGGTGGGGCAAAAGCCTCAGTGGGTCCCCCTTTATTGGGGAGAGCATGGGAGACGTCCTCCTTCCCCCAATGCTCCCTCCATTCCGTTCCTAACCCCCCCCCCCCAAGGCCTTCATCACCCACTGTCTGTGTCCATGGGCTATGCACGCATGCATATAAATTCTTTGGTCAATCTCTTACCACCCCTCTTCCCTCTGAGATTCCTCAGTCTGTACCATGCTTCTGTGCCTCTGGTTCTATTTTAATCAGTTTATTGTGTTCATTAGATTCCACATATAAGAGAGATGATGTGGTTTTTGTCTATCTCTGACTGGCTTATTTTGCTTAGCATAACTCTCCAGTCCCTCCCTGCTGTCTCAAAGGGTAATCAATCCTTCTATGTTAGCTGCATGATATTTCATAGTATAGATGTCCCACGGCTTTTCTGTCCACTCGTCTACTGATGAGCACTGGGGCTGTTTCCAGACCTCAGCTGTGGTAAATGGCACGGTTATGAACACAGGGGTGCATATGTTCTTTCAGGTTTGTGTTTTGAGATTCTTAGGCTATGCCTAGAAGGGGACAGCAAACCCCTCTATCAAAGAAAGCTGTCATAGCACTAAACTCTGTCTCTCCCTTCTCTAACTGGAAGTGGCCCCCACCCCAAATATCCCAACAAGACAGTTCTTGCTAGTGAACTTTCAAAGCAGCTCCTCGTTCCCGAGAAGAAGCCAGGACTCCTCCTTTCGGCCTAACTCATACCTGACGATGGAACTGGAGTCCTGCTGAAAGTGTCTCCATTGGCTCCAGAAGAATACCTATCCTGTAAGAAGAACAAGAAGACTAGTTTTCTACCCTGAATAAGAACAATGTGTAATCTAGTTCACAAATCCTAAAAAACTTCAATAACTGGCTTTGTTCAGAACAAAAGAAGGTAGGCTGTTAAGATATCCTGGGTCACTGATGCTCCTTTATTAATTATTCCAAAATCCTCACAGTAACACTGTATGCATAGCACATTAACTTATCACTTAGGCCCTACCTAGCCAGGCAGCTTAGTTGGTTAGACCAGTGGTCAGCAAACTCATTAGTCCACAGAGCCAAATATCAACAGTACAACCATTGAAATTTCTTTTGAGAGTCAAATTTTTTAAACATAAACTTCTTCTAATGCTACTTCTTCAAAACAGATTCGCCCAGGCTGTGGTATTTTGTGGAAGGGCTACATCAAGGGGCCAAAGAGCAAGCTCGAGAACCGCAGTTTGCCAACCACGAAGTTAGACCATCAACACCAAGGTTGTGGTTTCCATCCATGGTCAGGACACATACAAGAGTCAACTACTGAATGCATAGAAGAGTGGAACAATAAATGGATGTTTCCCTCTCTAGCAGTCAAAGTACTACTGGGTGAGTAGAGCACCAAGAGGGCTGGTTTTAGCTGTAAAAAATAATGAACACTCCGGCACTAAAGAACCGGAAAGCTATTACTAGATGATCTCCTGTCCTATATATTTTGAGGAAAAATTTTGAAACAAAACATCAAAAAATGTTTTTCAGCATAATCATTTCATCCTAAAATTCTTAACCTTTTCATTACCTCCCAAAGAGCCAGCTTCCTTCCACTCCCTCTCCAGCTATTGCACCTCTTCTCCGACCCCCTTAAACACTGCCGCTTGCACCTTCTCCTTCCTTTCTTTTTCAGATTCATATTTTATCCTTTTACTTATTAGCTGTATTTTTTTTTTCATTCTTTCTTTAAGCCCCCAAGGCTAGCCTTCAGCTTAACTCCGCAGGGACTATGCCTCCAATGAGGAAGTGATGTGTGCGATTGGTACACAGTGCTTCCTCCAGAGGTGCCCTCAGCAGCATCTGAAATGACAGTGTCTTCCTCCGGGCACATTCTTCTCCCGGCTGGAGGAGCACCAAGCCCTGGTTACTGCCTGCCCTCTGGCCAGCTCCTCCCAGCTCCTCCCCTCTCAGCCTCTGAGGTTGGCATGCCCAGGTCACAGCAGATCCCTCTCAGTTTTACTCTATTGAACTCTACCCAATTGCATACTTTGAAATCCCATTAACATGCAGATAACTCCCAATTTTATATCTGTAGTCTGATCCCTCTCCTAAGCAACAAATTCAAAGAGTGACTGGCATCCTTACTAATATGTTTCACAGGCATCTCAAGTTGAACACAACAGAGAGTTCTTAAAACATTTTTCCTCCCAAACTTGTTCATCTTCCATAGATTGCCTCTCAGTAAATGACATCACCCAACTGGTGGCTTAAGTCAAAAAACCAAGCCAGCACCCTGGATTCCTTTCACTCCCATGTCCACAGCTACGGCCAGGCCCCTCTCCCCTCCTCCATGCTCCTGTCCTTCATTTCCCACCCCTCCTGTCTGATCTCGCGGTGCTTTAAGCAGACTGTCCAAGGCTGAATAATGCCTACCCAAAGATATCAATTCCTAATCCCAGAAACTTGTCAATGTTACCTTACTTGGAAAAAGTTCTTGCAAGTGTGATTCAAGATTGAGAATGAGGTGGTGAGTGTGGGATCCTGGGGGGCCTTCAATGTCATCACATGTGTACTTACAGGGCAAAGCAAAGGGCGCTAAAAGGACACAGAGGAGTCCCCATGAAGACGGAGCAGAGATGCAGCCACCAGGGCTGGAGGGACCGTGGGTTCTCTCGGGCAGCTTCCCGAGCACATGCTGCTGACCCGCCTGCTCACGTCCAGCCTCAGGGCTGGAGAGAACCATGTCTGCTGCTTGAAGCACCCAGTGGGGTCCCTGGCTCCAGCAGCCCTAGAACTAATACACTGTACTGCCTCGTATGGCCCCGGATGGCCAGCCCTGCTCCCCCTCAGGACCTCTGCACACAGCGTGCTGTGGGGCTCGGGGCCCAGGCTGAGGCTCTATCCCAGGGATGCTTGTCCTCTCCACCTGATCTCCATCCACTGTCTCTCTGTCGGTCTCACACAAACCCCACGCTTCCCATCCGCACACACACTTTCCTCAGAACTCCTTCTAGCACTTTTCACTATTTATAATTTGTTCTCAATGTGCTTATTCTGTCCCCCTGTAAAATATAACATCCATGACAGCAAATACCTTCCTACAGTGCTCACCACTCCCGCCAGCTCCTAGCAGGGCTCCATAAAATTTACTGGATGAAACACAGGTCTTGGCTTAAGCTTGCTTTTAGATGACTTCACTAAACCATTTGTCACCTTTAACCCATCCATATGAACCAATTTAGAAATTTCAAAATGTTTCACGTAAGAGCATATGCAACTACAAATACCCTTCACGTGCAGCTGCAAATAATGTGTGCATGCTGATAAACACATTTCTTTCCCCTCGTTAGTGCTCTTGTTTTCAATCTGGAATACCACAGCTTTAAGTCTTATATCTTTTCCAAGCAAATGAGTATTTCCCTCACATGGTAAGCCGTTTTTCTTCTTAGACATAGTAAGGTTTGGACCCAAATGCTTGTCAGGTGTGCTACTCAAATAAGCATGTAGCTGGACAACATGAACCTTGAAGCTCCTGCCTCCCAGCCCAGGTGAGTGTCTATGCAGGCAGCTCCACGTTTTCCTCGCAGCCCCTGAAGGGCCTTGGCAAGCATCGCTTTCATCTGATGCTGAAATCCCTGAGCCAGCAGAGCGTTACATGGACTTGTCCCGAACACCAGGACCACATCTCCTTGTCTAGGTTCCACGTCACACAACGCTGAGCAGGCTGCCCAGACAGACGACCAGGCCGGTTACACAGGTTGTTTGCCACATAAATTTAAATTCTGAACAAAATACATCTCTCCTCCTTTGGTCTCACACAAGTTAACGTCCCAAGAACAGACAATGCCATCCTCCACCCTTCTTCTGGTTCAGCAGTCCCAGCCAGATCAGCCCCACTCAGGCCCCAGCTGAAGCCTGGCCCCCCCTCAGCACTTTGACAGCTGCTGTGGGGAAGGATGCCTCCCTGGCCCTCCTGAGCTGCAGACACCTGCCTGAATCCCGTGTCCCATCAGACCCACAGTGCATGGGCTTCCAGGTCTCCCAACAAAGAGCAAAGCACCTCAAATTTAGAAACCACCACCAAAGCCCGGAAACAAATGGGACTGCTGCGGAGCTTACAACGCGGGCCCTGGTTTCTGTGTGAAACCCCTTTTCAAATAAAAGTAATTTCCCCAAACAAAAGCATTTAACAACCCAAACTCATAGTGAGGTGATCAACGACAGGCTGCACAGAACTACCGTAAATGAGGACAGAGCGGAGATGAAGACAGAACAATGGAGAGAAGACTCTGGGTGCAACTCCTCCCAGGTCAGCCGTCCCACCAGCTGCTGGATCCACTGTCTAAACTGCGGGCCCTCCTCCAAGGAGGCTTTTCTCCATCTCTGGACCAGCCCAGCCTCACTGCCGCTCCTTAGCCCTCTCCCTGCCTTCTCCACCCGCCCCTCTGCCTGGATGCCATCCGTTAGGGTGTGAGGAGGAGACTGTCCAGCCTCCACAGCGTGCCCTATTCAGCATAAATGAGCTTCATGCTCTCGATTATGTGCCACTCTTTCCTCCCACATCTCGCTGGTGACCAGACGCAGAAGTTGCCAGAACTCTCCCTCGGGCTCCAGCATGCCAGCTTCCTTAGGTCCGCCGACTCCATGATGGCCGAGGACATTTGTTTCTGCTACTTCAGAACCACAGCATGGATGGAACAGAGAGGATGCAGATTTTATTTTCTTACCTAAATCGTTTTACAAACTTTGCTGCTCCGGCTTTATAAAACTATATTTGTGGATGGACTATTTCAAGCTGTTTCCATTTGAAGCATAGGAGTATTTGCTTTCTGAAATGTCCCAACCAGCTCGCACGCAGGACCACTGCCCAAGCACTGAGATGTCTGCCTACACGTGTACGTGTTAGTGACCGACTCTTCTTCATCTCCCACCTCTCACTGTTCGATCCTGAGGTGGTACACTCCCTTCAAAATCTAGAATCTCGAAATCCTAAGAGCTAGCAGAACACTGGCCAATCATTCAAATTTATATAAGCATGTGTCAACATTAAATCTCCAAATAGAATCCTGAGAGGATTCAGAAAGGGCTGAGCACAGACATTAACATGACACCAATTCAAGACGGTCTCAGAGCCACTATCAATTCAACAGAAGGGAAACCCAGCTGTCTCTACCATTGGAAACTGGGTCTGAAAAAACAATCAAAACGATGCCTTCGAGACGAACTGGACTGAATAAAAGAACTCGAGCCCTCCTACATTAAAAATGTTGTTTTGAAAAGTCCCATGTTCATCCTTAGTGTCTGCACTTTTTACTCAACCAAGGCAGGCAAAGAAGCTGCTAACGACACCACGTCCCTTCAAGTCAAACAGCCCATGTAACTACCGCAAAAGCCAGCACCAAGTGTTAAGTTTGCAGACAAACCCAAAAACCTGACTACAATTGGATCCACACAAATATGTATCAAGAATCATAAGGTAGATTTGTTGACAAAAATTACATTCAAGTTAGTATTACCAAATCACGAAACAAGGTATGTCACTGAATAGGACGGACATTCTAAAAGGGCACACTGAAAGACCTGAGTCGGCCACACCTAACGCCAAACACGTATGCCATAGACACGCACAGGATGCCACAGGCCCGTTATTGTCTGAGGAAGCTTAATAAGGGCAAAACCTTAGATGAAGGAAAAATAAAAAGACAGGCGACTATGAAAGTCCACTGGAGAAGGTGTATCTGTGAATTAAACTTTCTAGTCTAACATCTCTATTGAGAACTTGGGGTAGGGGAGAAAAAACATAAAATATCCTTTGACCAAATAATTCCACTTAAAAAAAAAAAATACTCCCAAACTGAAACAAAGAATAAGCTGTAGATCTCCGTGACACGATTACAGTGAAAAGCTAACCCTTAACGTCACGCCAACAGGAAGTCCATCAGATTAGACTTGACCTCTCCTACACAAGTCACTTTCAGGCAATCAGGAACGCGGAGCAGCACCAGTGCTGAGCGGGCGTCCACTCCCAGCGGTAGTTTTACTGTCGGCACATCCATCCCCGGACCCGGCCGGGGACGGAGAAGAGGCACCGGAAGTCGGGCCGGAGTTCTCCCGGCGCCCTCCCCGGACCCCACACCCCTCTCCCGTCCCCCGCCCCGCAGCGGGCGGCGCAGGGCTACCTTCTCGAACACCGGCACGTAGGAGGACAGGTGAGGGGTGATGATTTCCGCTTCCCAATCTTCATCGCCCATGGTGGTCCGGCCCTGCCTTCCTAAAACACAGACACACACGTTTGGCCTCCAGGAGCCCAGAGCCGCGTCCTCAGGCGCATCCACGGCGGCCTCGCGCCCGCCCTGCACCTTCTCCCCGGGGCGCCCATCTTCCCGCCAACAGGGGGCGCCCGAGGGGCCCAAGTCCCGGGCCTCACGGAGGCGGCACGTCCACCCCTCCTCTCCGTCTCCAGACCGGGGCGGGAACACTTCCGGGAGACTCGCAAGCCTGACCCCCGCGGAGGGCGCTGGGTCCCTCCCGGGGGAGCTAAGGTGCTGACTAGTTCTCCGGGGCGCGGGCCACAGACCCACGTCCCGGAGGGTCCCCGAAGGCAGGCCGAGGCCCCCACGCAGATCAACGGGCCCTCCAGGGGCGTCCGTGCACGACCCCCCGCTGCCCTCACACCGGACTCGCCCCGCGACGACGGACCCGGGGCGGCAGGCGAGGCCCGCGGCGTCCACCCCGTCCCCCCTTGGGGTCCCTCCCGGCTCAGCCGCCCGCGTCCCCGCCGCTCACCCCTCGCCGCCCGCTGCCGCCCAGAGCCCGGAGCCCAGGTCCTCGCGGGCGCCGCCGCCGCCTAAACGGCCGCACGTGCCCACGTCAGTGCGTGAGGCTGCGCGAAAGGCACCTGAGGCGCGAGCCGCCAGCCAATCAGCGCCGGGAGCGCGCGCGGGGCCCGCCCCCCGCAGCCCGCCAGCCGCTCACTCTCGACGCCGCGGCCCGTTGGGCCTCAGGGGCTGTGCTGGCCGCGGCCTCTGGGGGCGCGGGGGGAGGTAACCCTCTCCCGTTTGGGGCGCCCTCCGCTGCGGAGGCCCCGGCCCCCCTGTGCCAGCGCCCAGACACCCCGCCTTCTCCTAACCCGGAACGCGGGCTGTGCTCGCTCGCGCCCACCCGGTCCCGCCCCTGCGCTGCCCTGAAGCCCGCAGCCCGGCGGTTGGCCCCTCGGGTGGTGTCTGCGGTGCCCGCTTCACATCCGGGGACGCCGCTCAGCCCTGGGTGGCGGGGGTGCTGCCCACGCGTGTCCCAGGAGGCCGAGGGTCCGGAGGCGGGGTTCACGCCTTTGCAGAAGAGCCGCCCTCTGACCCTAAGGAAGAGGAAGCTGGGCTTGGGCCGGTGACCCCTCGGCCCCAGGGGCACAGGTCAAACGGGACCCCGCAGTCACGTGGTCTGGAGGCGCAGCCCTCGGACGGGGACGCCGGCTGCTCGCGGACTGTCCTCCTTATTCTGGGTTTTATCTCCATCTGGCTCCGCGCGCTCAGCGTCTCGTGCGGGAATGTGGAGCCCAGCGGCCCAGTCCGGCCCAGAGACTGGGCCTCGCGCCTTCCGTCTCCGGAGCCGCCCGTGGGTCCCGTCTCCCGCCAGGACTATGCATATTTAACAAAGGTCAAACCAGAATGTATGTTGACATGACCGTCATTTTTAATAACTTCTGGTTGTTGTTTTTTAATATATTTTCATTGAGCCCTGCCGGCGTGGCGCAAGGATTGAACGTTGATCTAACCGGTTCGATTCCGGGTCAGGGCACTTAACCGGCTTGAGGGTCAGATCCCTGATGTGGGGCATCCAAGAGGCAGCTGATCAATGACTCTCTCATCCTTGATGTTACTCTTTCCCTCTCCCTCTCTCTGAAATATATAATTTATTTATTGGTTAAGGTGTTACATATGTGTCCTTATTCCCCCATCTCGCCCCCAATTCCCCCACTCATGTCCTTACCCCCCTGTTGTCTGTGTCCATTGCATACAAGTCCTTTGATTGACCTCTCTCCCTTACCCCCACCTTCCCCTACCTTCCCTCTGAGGTTTGATGGTCTAATTGATGTCTCTCTGTCTCTGGAACTGTTTTTGTTCATCAGTTTATGTTAATAAAAATATATTTTGTTTTCATTTCTTAATATATTTTTATTGGTTTCAGAGAAGGAGAGATAGAAATATCAATGATTAGAGAATTATCAATCAGATGCCTCCTGCACACCCCACACTGGGGATCGAGCCTGAAACCCAGGCATGTGCCCTGACTGGGAATCGAACTGCAACCTCCAGGTTCATAGGTCGAGGCTCGACCACTGAGTCATGCAGGTCAGGTTTAATAACTTTTTACACCAAATTTTTGCATTGTGTCCTCGAGGTGACTCTGTGTGGGGACAGCCATGGCACCCCTAGTGCGCTGGATTCCTATGCAGGCTTCCCCGAAGTGTCTTAACCAACTTTGCATTGAATGTGGTTCTTTCAAAATGTCTTATATTAAATAAAAAGAGCAAGATATGAAATTATGTAGATAGAATGATAAGCAACTAGATTTTTTTAAAAAGATGGACAACTTGGAGATACTTTTTTACATAAACATTTTTTAAAAACATTTAACATTATCTGCTATTCACCTCTTGGAAAGAATAGATTTTTGTTGCCTTCAGATATTAGAATAAAATGGTAATCCAATTTATATAACTTTGGAGAGCTAGCTCTGGTTAAAAAAGTGAATTCTGATGAGAACTGAAAGTTCAATATTGAGGAAAGGAAGTGGATGGAAATGATATAACTCAAAAATGTGAACATCAAGTGAAAGAGGACAAACAGACCAGTCGGCATTTTTTACAGAGAGGAAGAGAGAGGGATGGAGAGTTAGAAACAACAATGAGAGAGAAACATTGATCAGCTGCCAATTGCACACTCCCCCACTGGGGATGTGCCCGCAACCAGGGTACGTGCCCTTGACCGGAATCGAACCTGGACCTTCCAGTCCGCAGGCTGACACTCTATCCACTGAGTCAAACCGGTTTCGGCCTCTCTGGTCTTATTGGTGGTGGTAATACATGGCAACATAGAAAAAGACAGCAGAAACTCATTAGCTGTTAAATAGGCTTTAAGTGAGCACCTACTGTATGCCAGGTGCTACGCCACGTGCTACACGTGGAATTAGCCCGTCTCTCCAGGAGCCGCCTAGTGAAAAGCGTGGCCGTGGCTAAAACCTTAGGATTCCTGTCTCAAAAAACTTGCTGGAAAGCTTACATAGTTTCTCCAAATTTGATGTAATAAGGAAGTACAAGAGTTTCCTCAAAAGTGTCTCACAGTTTGGAAGCAACTTTACAGGTGAGACCCTTCCCACTTTAGAAAGAGGCTCTAAATCCTCCAAGGCAATGCAGATTAGGAGAATGGACATATTAGACATTTTCCGAATTATCTCCACATTATCCAAATAATGGATCACCTTTGCAAGATGCTAGGCAGCCAACTCATTTTGAAAACTGGTGAAAAGAAAAACAAGTTTGATAACGTGTTTGGGGGTGATGAAACTGTTGTGGAACAGTTATTTCCCTTAGACGAATTCCAGCTGGTAAACAAAAACCTCCACTCTGTGTCCTCTAGGCCAGGGTTCAGGAAACTAGGGTCCCGGGGGCAAACACAGCCCAGCCCGCTGCTGTTGCTACGAATTGAAAGGCAGCCACGCATTCGTTTACATGTGTTCCGCTGGCGGCACCCGCGCGGTACGTTCAGTGTTAATTGTTCATAGACGCTATATGGCCTAAAGTATTTGCTACTGCGCCTTTACAGATGCTTGCCAATTTTTGCTGCAGGCCAGGAAAATATGGCTAGTGACCCGCCTCTCCCAAACTGTGAGCGCACCATGGAAACTCGCAGGGACACCAGAGCATTTTACATTTTTGAGGAAAAACACAGCAACCTCTGTCAGGCATCATGTGAACCCCCAGCCTGAGGTAGCGCCCAATTTCAACATTAGCTCACATTCATTCGTTTGGAGAACATCCTACTTTGCAAAGCTGAGTTTTCAGCAGTTGCTGTGACCTCAAGCAAGTGTGCAAAATCCACTGTGGGCCAGAAAATGGGGGAGCGGTGTCCCATCTGATCTGAGGAAGTTGTGCAGGGCCCACACGTGTGTGCATCCCCTTAGTAAAGCAATGGTGGATAAGAAGAAAATAAAACATTTTTCTTTCCATCTATCTATGTTTTTAAATGGCTACTAAGTTGTTAGGACCGAAGCACATACTAATTTGTTTGGACTTAACTACTTACTAAGTAAACAGAAACTAAGGACACTGAGGAAAAAGTTACTCAGATACTGAGGCGGCAGGAACCTGGTCTAGCAGGTGATCATCGATGAGTAGTGAAAAGCTGGCGAGAGGAACTTAGGAAGAAGCAGTATCTGAGGCCACCGGACTGCCTTCATGTCACCAGGGAAAGCCCTCCTGTGCTTCCGGGTGTGGTGGGAAGTACAGACACCACCTATGAACGCTTGATGAAAAATACCAAGTGTGCCCAGCCAGAGTGGCTCAGTGCTTGAGTGTAGACCTGTGAACCAGGAGATCACAAATTGATTCCGGATCAGGGCACAATGCCCAGTGTGGGGTGTGCAGGAGGCAGCCAATCAACAATTCTCTCATCATTAGTGTTTCTCTCTCCCTCTTCCTTCCTCTCTGAAATCAATAAAAATATATTTAAAAAACACACAAAACACCAAGTTTGAGTATGATCCAGGTTTTAAAGTTGACTACCAGTCTCCTCATTTACAAAGTCTGCATTCTTTGTGGTGTGGCACTGAAGTCTCTGCCCCAGGAGCTTAGTGGTCAGCTGGTGATTTAACAGGGATGTCTTTATTAAATCCTGGAAGCAAACCATTAAAAATTTTAAAAAGAAGCCAAAACGCAAACAACACCTCCCAGTCTTTGCCAGTTAGCCGTGTATTGGGCACTCCTTCAGCGCTTAGTGTGCAACTTGCCTTGGCCTTCACTTCTGCTTGCAGAGCCTGGAGGTCAGCCAGAGGTGAGAGCTTAGGGTCTTCTCAGGCCTGTTCCAAGCAGGTGTCCAGAACAGTGCATGCGTGAGGCCCTCTTGGTTTCCCAGGATCAGAGGGACATTTCCAAGCCCTCTTCCTCCAAGTGCCTGCTTCCCCAGTCTCTCCCTTCCTAGGTTTCCTGGTCTGTTTCTTGCTTCCTGGGCAGTGCTGACGCGTTTTCTGTAACATTTCCACACATGCTTCCTGGGAAGCTATGCCAGGCAGCTCTGAGGCCGGCAAACCAAAGGCAAGCCCTTCAGCCAGACCTTCAGGGAACCGCCAGATAGTAACGCACACAATACAGTTTCCTGAGAGTTAGGTCCATATTGCTCCTTAGTATCAGCAACCCACACCAAGAATATGGATTGCTGTCTTCAAGGCCACTTCCAAGATGGGAATGTAGAGGATCACAGATCTCTTACCAAACTTTACCAGTCTTTCCTCGATTCCAGTGTTTAAAAAAAAAAATGACTCCAGCAATTTCTCCAGTTCATTTGCTGCTTTTACAGAGGGACAGTTTGAAGTTCCTTACTCTGCCATTTTCGCTGATGTCATTCCGTACCACTTACTTGACACTTCTCAGCCAAGCCTCAGATTATTATCCCAGCATGGAATGCAGAGAAAGAGCAACATTTTGCTATCGCCGAAGCCATCCAAAAAAATGTGCTGCTGATTTGAAGGCAGGTCAAAGAGCTGTTGCAAGAGTATCATCAGCAGAATAGCTTTTATCTGTCTTAAAGTAATCACAGGTGGTTCCACCCCAACAAACGCATGGTTTAAGGTGAAACGTCACGTTCATGAAAGATGCATTTAACACACCTAGCCTGCCGAACATCATCGTTAAGCATGGCCCCTTTTCAGTGTATGTGCTCAGGTCACTGACATTAACCTGTAGCCGGGCAAAGCCACTCAGGATGGATTAATTCGCTGTGGAGCATTGGTGACTTACCCCACTGACCACACTGCTGCCAGGACCTGCAGCGCGAGAGGGTATGATCACAATTCAAAGCACAGTTTCTACCGAATGCGCACTACCTTCGTGTCGTATCTCAGTCTTGTAGGTAGAGACTGTCCATGTTCACCTTGTCAGGTCCCTTGCAGTTCCCACGCCTGCAAAGGTGGGGCAAGGCCAGCAGGGGGAGCACACGCTCTGAAAGGAGGCCTCGGTTTGGATTCCAGCTTATCTGCCTCTCACAGTTCATAGATTCTCCAGGCTGTTTCCTTATCTGTAACCGGGGCACTAGGCATCTCTGGAGCGTAGCTCACGTGGGCTCACGCATTTGGAGCATCACATGACAGTGCACACGTTGCCACACGCTCTCCCAGGACTCACCGCCCGGGCGGCCTTTCCTAACCAGCGCACTGATGCACTCGGGGACGTGCACTCTGCGGGCGGCTCCGGAGACATGGGAGGGGTGGCAGAGGGCGCCAAAGTCCTCCCAAAGCTCCCCTTTCCGCCGCCATCAATCTGTCCACACACTTAAAAGTGGGGGAAGAGCTGAAACCGGTTTGGCTCAGTGTATAGAGCATCAGACTGAAGGGTCCCAGGTTCGATTCCGGCCAGGGCATGTACCGGTGGGGGGTGTGCAGGAGGCAGCTGATCCATGTTTTTCTCTCACTGATGTTTGATGTTTCTAACTCTCTATCCCTCTCCCTTCCTCTCTGTAAAATAAATAAATAAATAAATAAAAATAAGGTAAAATAAAAATAAAAAAGTGGGGGAAGAAAGCTCAGTGTCTAGGCAGGAGGAAGCGTGCCAACCCGACAATTCTCTTCCCACCAGGTTCCCGGGGGCGCCCAGGGCTCAGGCCTCCAGGAGAGCCCGAGGGACAGCGCATGGGGAGGTCCCCCCTCCATGAAGATGCCACAGCGGCCCTTTCCCCGAGGCTTCCGGGCTGTGAGGGCTGCCGGCGACGCCTCCCTCTTCCAGGCCGCCGTGGACCCTCAGGCAGGCGTGGGGCCCCGGCGGGAAGCCGCCAGGCAGAAGCCGGACCGGGGCCGCGCGCTCCGCCACACCCGGGCGGGGCTCCGCGGCCGGGGGCGTGTGGCTGCCGCACGGGCCGCTGGGAGTTGTAGTCCACAGCTTCGGCCCAGCGCTCTGGAAACTCCATTCCCCGCCGGCCCCCGCGGTCAGGCCGTGGCCCCTTCCGGCCTCGGCTACGGGAAACAGGGCTGCCCCGAGTCCCGAGACTTTGGGGAGGCTCCCACCTTTCCCCCGCCTGAGCTCTGGAGCCGAGGACCGGCCTGCTCAGGTAGAGCATCTTCCCTCAGCCTGCAGATCGCCCGTCGGGAGGGAGCGGAGGGGAAGCGGCGGCACGGCTGAGCTGGCGGCGGCGCGGCTGTCAGTCGGGGAAGTTCTGGGTGACTCGGCGGAACAGTGGCTTCTAGGGGGGCGTTGAGGCCGAGCCCGCGGAGATCGCTCCGGAGGGGGGCGCGCGCGGCCCGCGGAGAGAGGCCGAGTGGGTGCCCGCGGGAGCCGTAGGGACCCAGGGTCACTGAGGGGCTGCAGGGACCGGGTGCGGGCCTCGGAGCGTCCTCGCTGTCCCCGCGGCCGGCGAAGCGCTGCCCGCGGGATCGGAGGGCGCCCCGGGGTTCCGCGCGGGGACCACAGGTGGCGGGCCGGGCAGGTACGGCCTCCAGCTTTGCCGGCTCCGTGGGGAGGTGCGTGGCCGGGCAGGGAGGAGGCGTGACCTCTTCCGTCCAGAATCCAAGCGGACCCTGGAGTCTCGCTCTATCCTGGAGACCTCGCGGGTCCATGGGCCCCGCAGAAAAGCAAGGCGCCAGAAGCTGTTTGGTTCCCTCGCTCCTGTGAGAGCCATGTTTACACTCCACGGCCGCCTGTTCATGTGCCATGGCGCTGTGTCTGAGGAACGTGCACATCTCAATGGAAACTCTGTTGCTAAAAGCTGCCGGCCTGCCCTCTGAGCCTCCGCGGGGAGGGCAGCGATGGGGCGCTGGGACAGGTGGTTCACAGTGAGTTTGCTGCACTGATCTGATCCACTTCCTATCTGATGATGTCTCTGTCCATGGGATGCGTTCTTTCAGCATTTTGCCCACCACAGAACTGTGAACACTGTAGTGTCCGCCCTCTCACACCCTGCCACTGCTTTGCCAGCTCAGCCTGAGGACTCTTCTAAACCCGGTGTTGTCATTTCAACCGTCTTCACAGCATCCTCACCAGGAGTGGCTTTCTTCACTTCTGAGATGCCGATTCGTCCCTAAGCAGCGCTCCTCCTCTGCTGCAGTCCTCCTGGTCAGGCTCCACTTCAGTTCTCCTCCTTTTGGGGTTCCCTCCACATCTGCAGTCACTCCCTCCGCTGAGATCTTGAACCCCCGGTCCTGCCTGGGGGTGAAACTAACTTCTTCCAAACGCCTGTTTGTGTAGGCATTTTGCCCTCTTCCTGTGAGTGTTCTTAATGGCATCTAGAACGGTGAACCCTTCCCAGAGGTTTTTCATTGACTTTGCCGGATCCATCAGATAAATCACTATGGCAGCCGTAGCCTTGCAAAACATATTTCGTAACTAATAAGACTTGAAAGTCAAGTTTACTCCTTGATCATGGGCTGCAGAATATACGCAGTGTTGGCAGGCACGAAAGCAACATTCATCTTATCATCCATCTCCCTCTGACTCTTGGGTGACCAAGTGCATTGTCAGTGAGCAGGAATAGTTTAAAAGGAATCTCCTTCTGAGCAGTAGGTCTCAACCCTGTAATATGTTGTTTATTAATTCTGCTTAGATTCATTAAGCTCCTTGAGTCTGCAGATTATCTTTTATGAACTCTAGAAATTTTCCAGCCATTATCTCTTCCAATAGTGCCTCTGCTGTCTTCTCTCTGACTCTCCGATTACATGCATGTTAGACCTTCGCACTCTATCCCCTGTCTTTCTTCATCTGTCCAACATTTTCTGTCTTTCCCCCACTCCCACCCCACCCTACCCCTCTGTCACTTCTGGATAGCTTCTTCTGATTTAATCTTTGAGTTTATTCATTTCCTCATCAACTTTTAAACCTATTCATTGAGTTTTCAATTTTGGTTATTGTATGTCCTTTCTTTTTTTTTAATGTATCCTCAGTCAAGAATCTGTTTATTGATTTTTAGGGAGAGAAAAAGAGAGAGAGAAACATGGGTCTGTTGCTTCCCTTAGGTATGTGCCCTGACCAGGAAGGAATCAAACCCATAACCTTTTGGTGCTTGGGACCACACCCCATCCAGCTGAGCCACCCCGCCCAGTTGGCCTTGGAACCTTTAGCCCAATACCTCTGGCACAGCAAACACCCTCGGGACAGAAGCAACTCCCTTAAGCTACTCGTCTCCCTAGGTTCCTTAACTTTACCCACATGTGGCCTGACTTTTAGTTGTTTTTCTGCAGAAAAATGGGTCCAAAAAGCAGAATCTGTTCTATTCCTGGAAAGGAATCGGTTCACTTATTTTTTTTAGCAAGCTGAAAAATAAGCAGTAACTTCAAGTTTCTGATAAAAAATAAATGTCTTTCAGGCATAGACTGCATTAAGATATCTGCAGCAGATTCCGGGATTTTTCCAGTTTCTTATGCATGCAAACAAATTATTTCTTAACAGTGAAATAAATTTTAATTAAACTTTAAGTGACCCATCTTTTCTGACTTACCTAGGACTGACCACTGCAGTGCTCAGAGCCGGAGGAAATGGCAGATCTGGACAGCGATTCCAGGCAGCTTCTCTTCCCCGAGGCGGACCATGAAGTCCATCCTGGGCCCATGAATATCCAATTTGAGTCGTCCGATCTAAGATCCAATAGGTGAGTGTTGAAAGTAAAACTCTTATTTCATAATTAGTTTTATTTTTCTTTTATTAAAATAGAACTGATTATAACCAAGCGTATAGTGCTTCAGTTATAAAATGCCCAGTTTCTGGCAGGATCTGTAAGATCCTGAATACTATTTCCTCATTTATATTTGACTTTTTAAACTAAACTCCACATCTGTGTGGGGAGGGGTTAGTTGGTTGAAACAGCATTGATATAGGTTAGTAATAGGCTAGGTGCTGAGCATAGAACACAAAGGTAACACATAGACCTGACCTTCATGGGGCTTAACTTACAGCTCGTTAGTTTAAGATTTCAGTTTAAACTTATTTCATTGCATTCTTGGGAAACCCAAAAGAATGCCCTGAAATTTTGTTATAAATAGTAAGAGAATTCAGTCAGGTGGCTATTTATTAAATAGGCAAAAATAAATAGCATTCTGATGAAAAAATGTAATGGAAAAAGAGATAACATACATAGGGATAACCTTAAGAACATGCAAAATCAATACAAGAGAATCTTTGGAAATACTACTGAGGGACCTACAGTAAGATTTGAGGATTTCTTCAAATCTGAGGTGCTGATCCTAAGTTGCACTGTGTGTGTGTGTGTGTGTGTGTGTGTGTGTGTGTGATAGCATGATGGATATGATGCTACATACACACACACACACACACACACTGCACCTTAGACTCTGTGATAAGCTGTGGCCAATACTTTTGATGTAATATTCTCTTAGGGCTTTGTGTTGTTTTGTTTTTTATTTACTGAAGGAACTCTTGGGCTTGTATGGCACTTTATCATGTTCATACCTTTTGTGTAACTATAAAAATGAAAATCTAAACAGTGTATCAGCTAAGATATTACTATTGTGATTCTCCTCCTTTGAACGGTTCTTCCAAATCACTTTTTGGAGTCATCAAAATTGGTGTCCTCCCCGCCCCACCCACTCCATACAGAATTGTTCTTTGTACCATGAAGAGTGTTGATAATGCATTTTCTTCCAAATCGCTGACACCTGTAGTTTTGAAGCTTGCACTTGCTGATCTTTCCAGAAGGTGTCACCAAAGGTTTTCTAACAACTCCAGGGCTCCTATTTCTTCCTTAAATGGTCCTCAAGTGTTCTGGCGACTGACGTGACCGGGGTTGACACTTGTCTGTCATATCACCAGGAGTAATTACTGGCTCCCGGAGGCTGGAAGAAATCCTGGGTCGTGCGCTGCAGCCAGAGTTGAGAAATGTTTACGTGTGTGCGAGTGAGGAAACTGTGACGGGAACGGAAGGCCTTTCTGCTCTCAGTGGGAAGACTGGAATGGGGCTCTTTACATTTAACCATAAATTAAAAAAAAAAAAAAAATATATATATATATATATATATATATATATTTTATTGATTTTTTACAGAGAGGAAGGGAGAGGGATAGAGAGTTAGAAACATCAATGAGAGAGAAACATCGACCAGCTGTCTCCTGCACACACCCCACTGGGGATGTGCCCACAATCAGTGTACATGCCCACGACCAGAATCGAACCCGGGACCCCCCAGTCCGCAGACCGACGCTCTATCTACTGAGCCACACCGGTTTCGGCTAACCATAAATTTAATGTGATTTCCCCCCCTCCCCCACATTGCTGCAGCCAATTTGAATGTTTGTAGTGCTCGGCTGGGTAATGTGCCGGCTAGGCTCCGGCCAGGAGCAGCAGGCCGCCCCCCCAGCCGAGGGGCGCGGCCGTGACTGCGCTGGGTACCACAGGCAGCTCCACTTCCCAGCACCCGTTCCCACTGCCAACCCACACGTGTGCACGGCTGTTCAGCGGGGCATGTGTGTGACAGCCAGAGACTGAAACGGCCAGGAGGTACTTGTTTGCAGGGTGATATAATGGAATCTTTTACCCGTTAGGAAGGAGGAAGTGGCTTTAGTACGTGTCAAAATAGAACGAGATCTCCACCTCTTCTGCTAGGTGAGCGAAGAGGAGTGCAGGGCAGCGTGAACGGTACACCACCGTTTGGTAGGAAATCAGCCGAGGAAGTAAACATCGCACCGTGGGTATACGGGACTCTGCGGGCAGCCAGGAGCGGGAGCGCGGGGCCTCCTAGGGAGAGCCTGAGAGCGAGGTGGGGTCGGCAGACGCCGTCGGATGAATCCCGACAGGAGCTCAGCAAGCTCACTGGGCCTTGCCTGCAGAGCCCTGGTTTTGTTACGGGGCGCGGTCGTTACCGGCCCGGAGGGAGGGGGGCGGGGTGAGCCAGTCTCCACCTCCCCTTCCCATGTTCCAGAGCAGCCGTGCGTCACTGAACAACTAGGATGGCTTCATATATATATATATATATATTTTTTTTTTTTTAATTGATTTTTCACAGAGGAGAGAGGGATAGAGAGCTAGAAACGTCGATGAGAGAGAAACATCGATCAGCTGCCTCTTGCACACCCCCCATTGGGGATGTGCCCGCAACCAAGGTACATGCCCTTGACCGGAATCGAACCTGGGGCCTTTCAGTCCGCAGACCGACGCTCTACCACTGAGCCAAACCGTCTTCGGCTAGGATGGCTTCTGAGAAGTGCATCGTGCACACGTCACACGCTGGGGCGGTCCAGCCCCGGCACACCAGGCCGTCCGGTGCAGCCTGTGGCTCCGGGCCATGAGCCTGGCCAGCGTGTCCCGGGCCGAGCACTGCCGGGATGGTAGCGTGTTGTGCCGTGATCGCATGCTGGCTAGGTGCCACCAGGCGAGCGGAACCTTCCAGCCCCGTCATAGCCTTTGGGGACCATGGTCCCCTACGCCACCCGGCGTCACCCACGGCGTCGTCATGTGGCACGTGACGGTGCTTCATGCCGCAGCTGGAGACAGCAGTGTGAGGGTGGTCGCAGGAGGCATGTAAGGCGGCCGTGACGGGAGATCGCGGATCTTGTCACTGTCATTTGCATATTCCCACGCCAGGGAGGACAGGAGCGGAGGCACGCTGATGGGTGCTGGGCTTCTCTGAAGCCTCTACGCCAGCGGTTCTCAGCCTTCTTAACGCCGCGACCCTTCAATTCAGCTCCTCACGTTGGGGGACTCCCAACCATAAAACTATTTTCGTTGCTGCTTCAACGCGGTCACCCTGAGTCTCCACCCACAGGGTGAGAGCCGCTAGCAGCGTCGCCGAAGACCATCAGGAAACACAGATATTTACATTACGATTCATAACAGGAGCAACATTACAGTTAGGAAGCAGCAACGAAGATAATGTGATGGCTGAAGATAATGTGATTTCTTACAGCTCCTCACCACCAGAGAGGAGCTGTTAGAAAGGGCCTCGGCATGAGGAAGGCTGAGGACCACGGCTCTGAGTTCTGTGATAAGTAAGTGACACTGTGACAGGAGAATACAGGGCGTCACCCCACATTCCGCGGCAGGGTGTGGGCGGGAGGTGAGGTGAGAGAATGCTTTGACCCTGGAGATGACATGGAAATCTGTTTTCTGTAACGAAACCTAACTGAATGAGAGGGCGACAGCTCACCATTCCGGCATAGCCTCCTGGGTAAGCACGGGGTAGGGGAGGCAAATATCCAGGCGGACGGAGGCAGCAGCATTGAGTGTTAATTTGTAGAAAACGCTGCCTGATGAAGAGAAATGTGGGAGTGCCTTAAAACGTCATTATTTCTATGACAATATGACTGACTCCATTCTAAGTCCGTAAACAAAAGTCAGACACCCCGAGGGGACGTGCCTTCCATTAGAGGAACCAGCTCGGGCAGCTACTGGGAGAACTCCAGCGTTTCTGAGTGACGCTCTGACTGGGGACATCACAGGATGACTTAGCGTATCCGTCCGTTATTAACCTTTAAGAGTTAGGGCCGCTTTAGCCGCATCTCCACGGGTCTGTGAAAGGATGAGTCTGAAGGAGCACGTTGCCATCATGCCAAACAGTTAAAACAACACGCCCTCCCTGCCCCTGCCCTCCTGCTCCCGAGCTGCCTGACAGCAGCCGCACTGGGACACTGTGGACTGGCCAAAGAACTTCCCACTGCATGACACGGCGCTAACTAACTGGCTTTCCCAGCGCTGCTCGGCCCGGCAGCCTCCGGCGCTCCCGGACGGGCCTCTGTGCCGGACGGGAGGGCTTGTCGTCAGGAGGGACACGGCGAGGGGGTCGCTGAAAGGGGGCCGATGACTGCAGCCAGGAGGGTGCCCCGAGGAAGGCCGGGCTGGCAGGCGGTGCCTCTGTGGTGCCAGCGGTGATCCCAGGCTGGCGGGCCTCCTGGCGAGGGACACACAGCCACAGGCTGCTGGTGGTTTTAACGTCAGAAACAGCACCTGCTGCTGAGCTGTGGTCCTTGCCGTCCCTCGGTGGGGGTGCGGGTCTGACGCCGGAAGGTCAGACAGCGCGGTGGGTGGCGGAGCCGGGAGCAGGGCTCAGGCAGTCCGCCTGTCCAGGCCTTTGGCAGCCGTGGAGCTGGTGTGGGGACCGCCTGGTGCCCTCCCGGCTCTGGGCGGCCCTGCTGCCGGCAATGCCGCTGGGAAGAGCCTGCTGGTTGGTTTGCGAGCTTCCCTCTTCAGCTCCTCCTCTTGTTCCTCAGCCCCGAGCCTCGGCTTGGGGGCTCCTCTCTGCGCCCCGTTCCCCAGGGGCAGAATCCCTGGGAGGCCTTCCCCCTGCCCTGCCCGTGGACGCCTCTCTGCACTGCTCCTCCCGCTCTCGTCTCCCCATCTCCCGTAACCTTCCCGTGTCACTGCTTTTGCGGAAGGCTCTGGGGGACAGCCCAGCCCGGGTTCGAGAGCTTTAACACGGAGATGTGACCACGGAGTGGGATCTGAGCTCTGCTCCGCAGAACCTGCCCTCTCGGATCCTTCCTCCCCCACCTCCTCTCCCCACATGCCTGCCCCGATCCCTTCTCCCCCCCCCCCCCCAATTCCTTCCAATTCTGTTTGTTTCTGTCTTGCCCACAAACTAGCCGTGGTTTATTTTCTTCCCCCTCCTCTTCCTCGTCCACAGAATTTGGAGAAGCCGGCATTCGGAGGGATCCTGTGTGTGGGTGGGAGGAAAAGGGTGGAGAGCTGGCTGTGGGGGAGGGAAACCCTCCTCTCCCCTCTGGTGTCTGCCTGCTGGCCTGGTCATTGGATCTTCCTGAGAGATTAACACGAGAGAGTGACCCCATTTCATGGCGCGTGTGTGGGAGCCTCACACACAGGAGAGGCAGACCCCGCGTCCCGGAGAGGCCGGCACAGGAAGGCACCTGGAGGCCCAGCTGACCTGGGCCGGGGCAGGTCCAGCCCCGGGCCGGGGAGGGGAGCCAGGCCCACAGATAACAGAGCACGTGCTCCTGATGAGAGGCTGGCTCTGCCAGGAAGTCATTTCTGAGGCTGGCCCGGGGGGAGCGAGGCCCCTCCCTTAGAACCCCGCAGGCTCAGGGACACACACACAAACACACACTCACACAAACCCACACACTCACACACAGATGTCCCCCTGGAGCCTGAGGGGCTCGGTCACCTTTAGCTCAGAACAGTCGCCTGCTCACCAGGCCAGGCCTGTTCTGAGCCTGGAGCTGGGAGGAAGTTTTAGTTAAAATGCTGGCTGGGCATTGTTCTCTCTGGCAATTTTTTTTTTTTTTAATGGGGAATAGTTAGGTTATGAAACTTGAAATGCTATTTTTTCCCAGAAATTCTTCTGGTAGATTTGTGTAGGAGAGTAATAATTGGCACGATACCGCAGGCGGAAGCCGGCCCTTTCCTTAGAATTAAGACAAGCTCTTTATTTCAAAATATTCAGCGGGCCCTCTTAACTGTGTTTAATTAAGATAAGGCCGCCTGTGATCTATTTGACGTTCCCGTCCAGTGGCTAAAGGAGGAGCCGGGGGAGATTTCCCACACCGGACCTGTCTTTGCTGAGTGTCACTCCGGTGCGGTGTGGGCTGCCTCCCGGCTGGGCGGATGGGCAGATGGGCTGGCGTCCGCAGGGCTGGGCGGCTGCTTCATGGCGGCTGGGAGCTGACCTGTCGCTGGGTGTTACAGGAGCTTCTGAACTGGACCCACGTGTTCTGGCGTTCCCATTAGCCTTTCAGCCTCGTGCTAGGGCCGTGGTTGGCAAACTGCGGCTCGCGAGCCACATGCGGCTCTTTGGCCCCTGAGTGTGGCTCTTCCACAAAACACCACGGCCTGGGCCAGTCTGTTTTGAAGAAGTGGCGTTAGAAGAAGTTTAAGTTTAAAAAATGTGGCTCTCCAAAGAAATTTCAATCGTTGTCCTGTTGATAGTTGGCTCTGTTGGCTAAGGAGTTTACCAACCACTGGGGTAGACTGATAGCAGGAACAAAACACAAAACCCCTCACCTTTCTCTTGCCCGTCACTTTATAGCCACAGAGAAAAGAGTGTTTTTACAACAGTAGAATTAAAACAACTCACACATATTTTTAAAACCAAAATGTGAAGGCCTGACTTGCATGAAAAGAACTTGAAGTTGTTCTTAGAGAAGTCAGGCCACCCTTACAGCAACGGGCAGAGGGACAGTCTGTAAGCAGTGCAGTGCCTGTCCGCGTGTGTGTGCCTGTGTGTTTGAGATCATGTGTGTGTGCTGTGTACATCATGAACCGTGAAAATCGCATTTAAAATTGGAAGATGTCATAATTAACCTTGACAAATCACCTTTTACTCATTAACAGTCGCTAAAACTTTTGACTTTATAATGTCATCGGCAATAATTGAATATGCCTTTATTTTTGAAAAGCATTTAGCTGCCAGCCAGTAACTCAGACTCATGTGAATCCCACGTCCCTCTCGCTCAGCAATCAGCTCGAAGTGTCTGTTGAAATCACTGGTCAATTCCACCCTCCATGAGGTCACTCTGTTCCCACACACAGCGGCTGCAGGGCGGGTCTGTGAATGGGAATGACTGGTGTGAAACCTGCAGGAAGTAGATGGTTTGAGAACCCGGCATACAAAGAGAATGGTGGACTCTGGGGACGGTGTGGGCCGAGGTGCGGAGCTGTGCTCTGTGCCAGGATGTCCTGTGGGCACCAGCGAAGGCCCGGATCCCATGGCGTCCCACAGCGGGGCCCGTCCTATGCTCGCTCAGCTCCTCCTGCGCCTGAGAGCCGCCGGCAGACGTGCAGCCCCCACCCACCCACACAAACACACACACACACACAGGAGCCGCGAGCAGGTGGGCCGTTCTGTGCGTGTTCATTGGCCTGATATTTTTTTAATCCTGATCCCCTTTCCGTTTTTTCCTCTGCACGGCCCATTGACAGGGGTTTGGGTGCCGGGCGCCGGCCGGGCACGAGAAGGGCGGTTGCAGGCCAGGGCCTTCCTCCCGAGGGGGACCGTCCGGTCGTGCTTGCTCCTAACCTGCCGAGGGGCAGCCGGCGGGCAGGAGGGTGGAGGCACAGGCAAGAGCCAAAGCGTCCGAGGAATGTGGAACCCGGGAAAGGCGTTGGTGGAAATAAGGCTTCTCTGTTTACAGGATGTTAAATAAAAATGCGGGATTTTGAGTCATAAGTTAAACTATTTTTTAAATCTTGCTGAAGGTTAAATGTGTTTTTTCTGCAGCACGGCCATAAATAGAATGCCAGGCGAATGTGACAGCTACATGGAATTCTGTGATGTATCTTTGGTGGGCGGCCAAGGGACGCGGGGAGGAAGCGGTCGTGTGGAACGGGCAAGGGAAGGCCCGCGTCTCACGTCCTTGCTTCCGAATGGGTTCTCCGGACAGAGCGTTCATTTTAAAAGTGTTTTCAGACCCAGCGAAAGTTCAGTTTAGACGTCTAAGTTCTGTATTTGCTCTGTGAGATGAAGCTCTAAGCATCTGTTTCTAATAATTCCGTTGAAATATGCTGAGTTGTATATTTTTAAAGAGAATCTGTTTTTGAAAAGATGCCCAAATATTTGTGTGAACAGGCACAGAGCATCTCGATGAAAACGGTTGGAAAAGGAAAACTTTCCGAGTTGTTTTGCTCAGATACCGTGGAGCCCACTGAACGGGTACAGGTGGCGGCTCTGTAGGGGCCGGGCAGCCAGGGAGGCAGCGCCCCCGACGCCTGCCCGCCGGCTGAGAACAGCCCGGGACTAACCTGACTGACACGCGGCTCAGCAGCGACTGCAGAGCTGTCCCTGTCCCTGTCGGGGCCGAGCTCCTCGGTCCTGTTGGTGCTCCCGGGCCAGGCCCCGTCCCCCCCTAAGGCGACATCGGGGCTGTAACGCCTCCTTGAGCTTTGGGTGTTGTTGCTGCAGAACAAGGGAGCCCTGTGGGCGTGAGCTCCTGGGGACGATCACGTCTCCCGGACATAGTTTTTTTTAAATGTTTCTTTTGGTTTTTAGAGAGAGAGGAACATCCGTGAGAGGGAAACATCATGGATCGGCCGCCTCCTGCACACACGCCCCTCTACTAGGGATGGAGCCCACAATCCGGGCGTGTGCCCTGACCGGGAATTGAACCAGCGACCTCTTGGTTCCTGGGTGGACGCTCAGCCGCGGAGCCACACCAGCAGGGCAGACGTACTGTTTTTGCATTGCTTCTCGGTCCTGCTGAGGGTCACCATCCTGGTCTAAATTACGCAGGACGGCGTGACGCTGCGAGGGGGACTTCTCAGGCTTCTGATGTGTAAGCAGGCCGGTGTTCCCCTCTGACCCTCGCTCCCGCCCGTCCACGTGAGGTTTATGGAGGCCACCCACTTCCTTTCGCTTCTCTGCCGGGCCAGAGAGTAGGTCCGGTCTCGTAGCTCTTCCTGGACGTGAGCTGGTTGAAGTAGGACGTGCCCTCCGTTTCCGAGTGCTCCGTGGGGTTGAGGGGTAGAGATCCGGAGATTCTGGGCTCACCGAGAGCCGAGACTGCTCTCACGCCTCTCCGGCATTTCTCTCGAGCGGCAGAAATCAGACTGCAGTCCCTGGGTCTCCAGCTCGGCGGTGTCTTCAGAAACGACGGCCCCTCTTCTGTGCGTCCTCAGCGGCCCTCAGAGCTGAGTGTGCGGGGAAGTCGCACGGAACCAGCGACAAAGCCCGGTCTTCCCTCCTGAAATGGCACATTCCTGGCCGTGTGGGGCCTGCGCATCCACAGAGGAGGGCTCCTTCCGTGCCTCTGCCTCACCTCCTTGGGGTGAGGGGACCCCTGAATGCGTAGAGCACAGGGGGGGCGTGGTTTCAGAGAGGCCATGGAGGAGTGGAGACAGAGTGATGATTGACGCGCAGAGTCTGAGCTCTGGGGACAGGGCATGAGCAGGAGCTCACCAAATAGGACGTGTCCCTGAATTCCAGGCGAAGCTGAACTCGGCACACGTGAGAGCTGGTGCCTGGACGTCCCCCTAGCCGGTCCCCGGGGTCGACCTCGCAGGGCACGGTGGTCACGCAGCCTGGGCACACGGGCCACATGGCAGGGAGCTGCTGGTCCCGGGGTGGCCCACCACCGAGGAGGAGGGAGCCGGGGCTCCCAGCACAGGGAGGGACGTTCTTGTCCGTCTCTCTGACTCGGGGCCAGCAGCCCCGTGAGAGAGTGCCAAGCTCTGAATGCCATCAGGCCCAAGAGAATGGGCCTGAGTGTGACGGGTGAAAACTGGCAGCCGCCCGGTTCTAACAGCGGCTGGAGCCCTTTGTTCTGTCTCCTCTGCTGCTGTCTGCCTGTCAAAGGGCAGCTCAGCGGCCAGGCGTGGTGGGCAGAGCTGGCCGGAGAAGGCTCCCTTTGTGCGCTTCCTGCCCGCGTGGGAGGCAGCCCGGCCCGGCGCCTCCCGTCCCCCCGAGGGCAGGCGCCCTTGTCCCAGCTCCGGGATGTTCCCAGCCTCCGGGATGTTCTGACAGGTGTCTCCCTCCGCAGGCCTTTCCACGTGGAGCCCACCAACATCGTCGGCGCGAGCCACGTGGCGCAGAGGGTCAGCGACCGCGCAGCAGCCATGAGCAAGCGGATCCACTACTACAGCCGGCTGGCGGCGCCCGCAGACCAGGCGCTGGTAAGGCCGCCGCCGCTGGGGCTCAGGATGGACGGGAGCAGCCGCCGGGCGGCTCCCGGCTCGGCTCCGCTGGTCCCGTTCCCAGGGTGGCGTCATGGAAAGTCAGACGCGGCTCACTGTGCCCGTCCTCCCTCCGCGGGCCGTTCCCACGGGGCCTGGCACTCCAAACCTCTCCCCGTGTTGACAACAGCCAACGGTTTGCTGCGGGAGAGGCTGCTCACCCCGTGCTGGGGGCCCGGAGGGGGGCCATGGCGCCCGGGCCGGGGTGCCTGACCTTCACCTCCTAAGGCTGTATTGCTAGCTTAGGACCAAAAACATTGGTTTTCAGTAGCTGGTTGCCTATAAGCAGTAGCACATTAGAGATGCTCAGAAACTTCAAACTTACAGAGCCAGGAGGCGTTCTGAGAGAGAAGACGGTGCTTTTCCTGAGTGATCGCCAGCGTGGGAAGGGAGCAGCATTCTGCAGGCGGCTGGGGGGCAGGCTGGGCAGTCCCTCGTGGAGAGCTCATGCTAAGCACTGGGAGGCATTATGACCTTGTGCATAGCCAAAGCAGGGGCTTCCAGAACATTCCGGAGGAGATGATTCCCCCAGTTTTTCACTGATTCCTCCTGAGGCCTTCCCGTCCTTGGGGGTGGTGAGTCCTGGCTTCATCCCAGGACTATGTCAGCCTCTGGGAGCAGAGGGAGCCCAGCATCTCGGATCTGGTCAGACCCTGCAGCTCCGCCTGTGGAGGCAGCCATGGCGGGCCAGCTGTGCGTGGTTTGCCGGGACACTCGGTGAGCGTGCACCCCGGGGAAGCCCTTCTGTGACCGGCTGTGAGGTGACTGGTGAATCCAAGCACATACACGGTTGATCTGAAATTAGCAATGGATACGACCGTTTTTAATGAAGGTGTTTACCCATCATTTTCCTTACGCTGCGCTGCCCCCCGCCCTCCAGCCACCGCAGGGTCCGAGGGGCCTACCCGCAGCGTTCCTTCTCCCCTGGCGGCTCCTGCGCCCCTAACAGTGGGAGCCCCTCCCTGCGGGTCCACCCCCCTCACTAAGAGTCCATCCCGCCTCGTCTGGAGGTTCCCCCAGCGGAGCCAGGCTGCCCGGAGCCTCCTGACCTGGGTCTCCCCCCCCCCCCCCCCCCGCTCCCCGGACGGAGGAGAGGAGCCCCACGTAGGGGGGCTGCGTGGCCAGGCCTGCCCGCCTTTCAGATGGAGGGTTCGTGGTGGCCAGTCCTCACGAGCTCGCCCGTGCAGGGTTCACTGTGTGCGAGGAGAACGTGTGTGTTTTTGGGATGTGTCTGTCGTCTGCTCATGACGCTTGGACGTGTGTCTGGCGTCGGGCGCTCTGACGCGCAGGAGACACGCTGCGTGGCGTTTGCCGGCCCTGAGTTTGCGTGTCTGTGTCACAGGTAGTTTGCATGTCCATCTCACAGGTAGTTTGCATGTCCATTACACAGGTAGTTTGCATGTGTGTCCGCTTCACAGGTAGTTTGCATGTCCATTACACAGATAGTTTGTGTGTCCATGTCACAGGTAGTTTGTGTGTCCATTACACAGGTAGTTTGCATGTGTGTCCGCTTCACAGGTAGTTTGCATGTCCATTACACAGGTAGTTTGCGTGTCCATGTCACAGGTAGTTTGTGAGTCCGTGTCACAAGTAGTTTGTGTGTCCATGTCAGAGGCAGCTTGCGTGTCCATGTCACAGGCAGCTTGCGTGTCCGTGTGACAGGCAGCTTGCGTGTCTGTGTCACAGGCAGCCTGTGTGTCCGTGCCACAGGCAGCCTGCGTGTCCATGTCACAGGCATCTTGCGTGTCCGTGTCACAGGCAGCCTGTGTGTCCGTGTCACAGGCAGCCTGCGTGTCTATGTCACAGGCAGCTTGCGTGTCCGTGTCACAGGCAGCCTGTGTGTCCGTGTGACAGGCAGCTTGTGTGTCCGTGTCACAGGCAGCCTGTGTGTCCGTGTTACAGGCAGCTTGTGTGTCCGTGTCACAGGCATCTTGCGTGTCCGTGTCACAGGCAGCTTGCTTGTCCGTGTCACAGGTTGCCCCGGACCACGTGGTGCCGGCGCCCGAGGAGCGCTACGTGTACAGCCCGCTGGGCTCCGCGAGCAAACTGCAGAGCTGCCCCGAGGGCTCCGGGAGGAACAGCAGCCTCGTGACCATGTGAGTCAGCGGCGGTGGCGGCGGTGGCGGTGGCGGCGGCGGCGGCGGCGCGGCTGAGCTCGCGGGGCCTGGTGCGGGGGCCGCGGGCGCTGTCCCGGGAAGCTCTGCGGGTAACCCCACCTGCTGCCGCTCTGTTTCAGCTTCATGATCTGGAACACCATGATGGGGACCTCCATTCTCAGTATTCCTTGGGGCATCAAGCAGGTAATGTCATTTTTTTTTTACTTTATTTTTCCCCCCAAATTTAATAAATCTGTATTGTTCAGATTTTACAAATGTGTTCCTCTCTCCCCTCCCCCTCAATTGCGCCCCTCCACCAGGTTCCCACCCCACCCTCCGCCCCCTCCATCGCCCATTGTCCTCATCCATAGGTGCACAGTTTTTGTTCAGTCTCTTCCCACCCCCACTCCCCTTTACCCCGAGAATCGTCAGTCCACTTCCCTCCCATACCTCTGATCCTATTATATTCACCAGTTAATATTGTTCATCAGATTTTTAATTCCCTTGGTTTTTAGTTTCACTTGTTCATAATTTTTAATTTTATCTTCTTCCTCTTCCTAAATAACCCCCTTCAGCAATTCATATAATTCTGGTTTGACGGTGATGAACTCCTTTAGCTTTTTTTTATTTGTGAAGCAGGTAATGTCATTTTTCAGCACAATTTCAGCCTGAATTCTTGTTCTTTTTGCAATATTGGTTTTAATAAATCTACATCAGTTTTTTAAAAGAGCAGATGATATTACTTAATTCTACGCAAAGAGGGATGTCTTTATCGTAATTGCTGGCCAGGTTTTCATCAGGGTCCCGTGGGGCGGCGTCCCACGGCGGCGTCAGTGTTCGCTCCGACATGACGCGTGTGCCGCTCTGCGTTTTGTCTCGAACAGGCGGGGTTCACGACCGGCGTGTGCGTCATCCTGCTGATGGGCCTGCTGACCCTTTACTGCTGCTACCGGGTGGTGAGGTCACGAGCCACGATACGTAAGCGCTGCTCAGTGAGGACAGGCGGGCGTGCAGGGCGCCCCGCGCAGGGAGCCGCCGGCCTGTGCGACCCGTGTGGTGCTCAACGCTGGCTCCCTGCTCCCGGCCCCGCTGACCGGGCCGCCCCCGGCAGTCAGGAGCCGCAGTTCTCTGCGGAAAACACCCCCCGTGGAGTTAGAGTCATCCTAGGAGAAGGCCTGCTGGTAAATGGAGGCTTTGCAGAAGCTCACGTTAGAAATCTGTGATCTTCTCCAGTTAACAGCGACTGGCTTTGACCTATCCCGACCGAAAGACCTAAATGTTGGGCTCTCCTAAAAGTAGAAATTATTTCCAGAAAAACATGAAAACGTGAGCAATGTGTCCTTTATAGCGAACTCTAAAAACTGTACCAACACATTTCCTCCACTCGTCTCCGTAAACTCTGATCAGGGAGACGCCCTCTGGATTGTGTCCGGGTAACGTAGGGCTAAACAGGCGCACGTGACTTAACTGACTCCCAGCAAGTGCGAGTCAGCGACGGCACTGCCCAATTGTTCTGTCTCTCCTCAGCAGCGGCGTGTTTTCCCTTCATTGTGCTGCTTATTCATGGCCCTTCCCCTCTACCCACAAGCCCCTTGGTGCTCTTGTAGATCTGCCAACTTCTGTCTATGATGTAGCCACTACCCTTATTCTATTATTTCTGGTCAATTTCCCCCCATTCCGTATTTGAATGGCTTTTTTATTATATGGGTTTGTTTATATCTGCCCATCTTTTCCATTGTAATTCAGTTGGTAGAAAAAGGATAAACTTTCATGTTCTGTTTCTATAGTCTTTTAACTTTTCTGTAATTTAATTTTTAAATTCTTTTTTTAAGTTTTTTTTTTTTAATTGATTTCAGAGAGAGGAAGGGAGAGGGAGAGAGGAATAAAAACATTAATGATGAGAGAGAATCATTGATTGCTGCCTCCTGCACATCCCTTACTGGAGGTCAAGCCCGCAACCCAGGCATGTGCCCTGACCAGGAATTGAACTGTGACCTCCTGGTTCGTGAATCACGCTCAACCACTGATCCATTCCGGCCCGGCTGATTTTTTTTAACTCTTAACTCAGTTGTGTGAAGCTTAAATTGGCTTGTGTGCTATAAAGCATGACTCAAGAAAACGGTTTCCCTTATTATTAACTAAGCATGATGCCCCCTGTCCCTTTACTAACGATTGTGTCTCTCCGGGGCTTACCACGTGCTTTTACTCATGACAAACTGTTCCTGTACTGTTACCTGTTTCTCTGGTTGCAACCATTCTGTTGACCTACATTTATTTTTATATGTTTGCTCTGTGTTCTCACTTGTGTTATTTTTTACTGTGATCTGCTATGTCTGCTGTAACACCCATCGCCTTTTACTGAATGTTGAGTTAATCTGGGGAAAGAAAGGATGAATGTGGCATCGACCCGGTTTCTCTCCTCCTCTTCTCGCTCGCAGCGTCGGTGGACACGGCGGCCTGGGAGTTCCCGGATGTGTGCAGGCACTACTTTGGCGCCTTCGGCCAGTGGTCCAGCCTCCTGTTCTCCCTGGTGTCGCTCGTCGGAGCCATGGTCGTGTACTGGGTGCTCATGTCCAACTTCCTGTTCAACACCGGGAAGTTCATGTTCAGTAAGTCTCCACGTCCGCCACGTGCGTTCAGTCATTCCAGGTGCCATCACCACTGTCATGGCTCAGTTCCCACCTTAAATTCTGGACTGGGACAAAGAAAAAGGTGCTATTTGTAATTCTAGGAAATATATTTGATTTCTGTGGGTATGATCTCATATATAATGTGTGTTGCTCATTTGCAAAGACTAATTTTTGAATCGGTTATGCTCCTTCAGATTCTCTAATTAATATAAAATGTATTGAGCGCCAGCAGATGTTTTAAGCAGTTTCCGTGTCTACCAGGAGATTTTAGTGCGACACCGCTTACGGAGCTCGTTCATGGGTGTCGGTTACAAAAGAAGCTGATGTGCAGAGTCTCCGGGAAGCAAGCTGCAGAGGCTCGTCTTCCGAGCGTTAGGACCCTCGGGCGTTAGGACCCTCGGGCGTTAGGACCCTCGGGCGTTAGGACCCTCGGGCGTTAGGACCCTCGGGGTGTCAGAATCGTAGTCAGGAACCCGCTGGCACAGGTGTCAGGGCTTCCCGGCTCCAGGTCGGCGTGAGCGTGGGCGCCAGGGCGGCCATGAACATCCCCAGCTTCTCATCTCAGACCACGCCCCGCCCCGGGGATGCCGTAAACCCCGAGCACGAAACTCCCTTCACTCTGCCCGTCGCCCACACGGCAGAGTCCCGTGTTTAACCTACTTTACGACCTTGAGATCGCCTCTCGCCTCCTTACGCCTCTTTTAAGTTTAACCCAGCACGCTTATTAACGCCTCCTGGGTTAACCAAGGTCAGCGCCACGCAGCGCAGAGCGAGCCTCTCAGGCCCGGCGGCGGGAAACGCCCCCCCTGCCCATCCGCCCGGCCGCCCAGACCTCCCCACCTGGTCGCGGATAAAGACATCAGCAGTGATCATTTCAGCCTCTTACTCAGCATTATCGAAATCTGTTTTCCTTCGTTTCCAGATTTCATTCATCACATTAATGACACAGATGCTGTGCTGAGGACCAACGACAGCAACCCTGGTAAGTCGTGTGCGACGTAACCTTCAGCTTGGTTTTACTCCCCACTGGGCTTCAGAATAGGTTTAAGGTGGAAATGATGGCTCAGTTTTAGGTAAATCTGCCACAAAACCGTTCCCACTGTCTACCCGGGCCACCATTGAACTGTTGGCCGTCAGCGTGTTTAAAAAGCACAGGAAACCAGCCGCACCCCAGCTTGTGCTGATGTGAGGGCGCGATGCCAGGTCCTGTGCCACCTCACGGCTGTGGCCCCGCCGGCAGGGCCCGTGTTTGCCGTGAAGACTCAGCACGCAGTTCACGCGCCCAGAGTCCTGCCCGTGTTGGGTCCGGGGCGCAGGTCTGTCTGCTGCCTCAGCGTTAGGCCCTCGGTGCTCGGTCACTGACGTGAGGCACACGCCTGCTTCCCGTGGGGTCGCTCCTTCCTGACGGGGCGCGGCAGTGAACACCACGGCTGGCGCTGGGTCTGCCGTGTTCCCGCTGTGTGACGCTGCCACGCACCGTCCGTGCTGGAGCTGGCTGCTCCTCCCCGCTCCCTGGTCACCTCTGGGCGCCACTTCCCGGAGAATGACTGGCTTCCCGGAAGTCAGGGTCCCTACGCTCTGACCGGCGGTGAGGCGTTGGCAGCACCGTGGCAGCCCCTTCAGCGGCGTCGCTTTTTACTCCAGATTCGGGGGTCAGCTCAGTGTGGGCAGAAGCCTGTCCTTTGGCCGCGGGGAGCTCACCACAGCACGCCACCCCGTGTGAATTCTCTCGTGTTACCGTTACATACATGAGATCAATGCCGGGGCCTCTCATGACCCCCCAAACGCCTGTGGTCCCGATGCCTGCCCTCTGGCCGTGGAGCCACGGGGTTGTGGGAGCACTCACAGTTCCCAGCAGAAATGAGGGACGTGCCTGCCCATTCCTAACGTTCCTCCCCCTCCCGTTGTGTCTAACCTCGGAGTGTAAGCCGCCGTCTTTCCCCAGACGAGGGGCTGGGCGTGGGGTGCAGGCTGAGCCTGGGGCCCGGTGAGCCTCCGGGTCCCGCTGCTCCCTGCTCTGCTGACCGACGCCTTCCCGTGCAGTGATCTGTCCGAGCGCGGGCAGCGGCCGTCCCGACAACGGCTCCGCCGTCCTCTCCGCCGACGCCACGGGCCTGCCGCCGTTCGAGGCGTGGTGGGACAAGTCACAGACGGTGCCCTTCTACCTCGTGGGGCTGCTCCTGCCGCTGCTCAGCTTCCGGTCGCCGTCCTTCTTCGCCAGGTTCAACGTGCTAGGTGCGCTGCGGGCGAGGCGGGCGGGGCTGGGGGAGGGCGCTGCCCGGCTGTGCCTCTGTGGTGATTATTCACGCGCACATTTCCCGGCTCGGAGGCTTGCTTTTTGTTGTGTTGTGTTGTGTTTTTTGTTGATCCTCACTCCAGGACATTGTTCCTTGGTTTTAGAGAGAGGGGGAGAGAGAGGGAAAGACAGAGAAACACAGATGGGAGGCACACATCAATGGGTTGCCCCAGCACACACCTCCCACTAGGGCTGGGGATCAAGCCCGCAACCAAGGTACGTGCCCTTGAGTGGAATCGAACCCGGGACCCTTGAGTCCGAGGGCCGACCTATCCACTGAGCCCCACTGGCCAGGGCTCGGGGCTGTCGTCAGGACTGGCACGGGACACCCAGGTCCCTCCCAAGGCGAGCGCTGGCCGTCCCTGCGCAGCGCTGCCCGCTCCCTCGGTTTGGGGGCCCTCGGTTCGGAAGGCTGGCAGGTTAGCCCTCGTGACGGAGGACACGGAGTGGCTCTCCCGATCCTAGCTGTCCTGCGGCACAGGAGCGTCGCCTGGCCGTCCGCCTGGGTCGTCTCCGCTCGCTCCTCAGTCTGCCTGCCTTCGCTCTCGGCGCTTTTTCTCTCCGGAACACATGGCTTCCAGAGGAGCAGGCTGCTCCGGGGAGCCTGTCTCGCAGCTTCTGAAATCACGGGGTGAAGTCTGCGGCGTCTCCTCCTCAGCCTCAGGGTGGCCAAAGGCACCGGGCAGCCCCGGGCCCGTTAGCTAGCGACCAGGCGCCGTCACGAGGAGCCGATGACCAGCTCAGGGCAGCGCCTCGCTCCCTGCAGACCCGATCCCGCTGGCAGCCCGGAGCACAGGCCTGAGGCTCCGTCACCGAGCAGGTGGCCTTCGGGTGTCCAGCCGACGACGGACGAGGGGGGGTTGTCCTCTTAGCTCGGCCTCGGCAGGGTGCACGCCCAGACAGAGTAAGGACGGCCTGCCTCAGCCATTTTCTTGTAAAGCTGTAGCTTCCTGAGAGAAATTAGCACCTGGTTCCCTAGAAACCTCCTGGCTCAGCTCCATGGTGACAACCTAACTCCTGAACGGGAGCGATCCACCCACCCTCCGACTCCCAGGCTGAGTCCTTCAGAGCCCCGTCGCTGTGCCTGAGGCTGTGGATGGACCCTCTCCCCCACACCCCTCGCCCCTCACAAGCAGCTGCTCATCACAGCCCCCCAGGCCCAGGCGGCACCCCGGCTCTAGGCCCCTCGCCTTGCCCTGGGTGCGGACTGACGTACCCAGCCTGTCAACACCCGAACCTTCCAGCATGAAGACCATGACCCTTTCTGTGTCGCCTGGCGGCTCTGCGGTGGGCTCCGGCCTCCGCACTGGCCGCGGCCTTCAGCGACGTCTGGGGCCCTTCCTCAGTCCTCCGGCCCCTGCTCCGCTGTCGGTTGTGCTGCTCACCGCGCCGCTCCTGCCTCAGCCCCCTCCTCCCCGCTCTCGCCCCCACCCCCCGTGTGGTGGGGAAGCAGTGCCAGCGGCAGGCCCGTCTGCTGAGAACCGGGGCGAGCAGGTGGCGGCATCTGCACTGAGCAGGCCCGATGGTCTGTCTCCCACAGGCACGGTGTCCGTCGTCTACCTGACCTTCCTCGTCACCTTGAAGGCCGCTCGCTCGGGATTCCACCTGGAGTTCCACTGGTTCGAGCCCACGGAGTTCTTTGTGCCAGGTGAGCTGCGTTAGCCGAGATGGGGCGCGGTCAGGTGGCATGGCGGTAGGCAGGTGAGCCACTGTAAGAACGTGTTAGCAGCGAGTCTTTACGTTCACCACGCGGACTGCTGCTCCTCCATGACGGGAACGGCTGCTTACGCTGAGCTGAGCGTTGTTGGGGACATTAAGCTGAAGCAGGTCCGTGGGGCCCTGGCGGGTAGCTCCGTCGCTCAGGTTATTTCACCTACAATGTTAAGCCCACATATTGTCTTTGCCTCTTCAAGTCTTTTGCCCGACTTCCTGTTCATTAAATTGATTTGTAAGCGTTCTTCATTCTAGATGTGCATCCTGTGTCAGGTGGCAGTATACAGCTATGCCCCCGCCCCCTTCTCTTAATGTGTCTTCTCCAACCAATAAGGCAGCAGCTTCGCAAGGGTGGGCGATTCGGGGCTCCTCAAGACCACGTTGTCAAGGAGTCTGTGTTCCTTAACTCACTGAGCAGTGGTCCTGGGCTTCCTCGGAATATTTCCCCCTCTCACTCCCACTTTCTGTCCGTCTGTCCGTCCGTGTGTGTGAGTCAGGCTGCAGCAAGTCCGCTCAGCCACACCGTGTTGTGTTTGGAGAGCTCAGTCTGTTCTCACGGAAACTAATCATTGGTGGGTGTGGGCTTCCTATCGCCGTGCTGTTCACTGTTTCCTGTGATTCCGTTCTTCCTTCATGGTGGGGTGACGTCGGATTCTTACTGAATTTTTCCATTGTTCCTCTGGAACGAGTATCTGCAAATAAGGTCATAAGTAAATAATAATTTTACCCACTTTCCCACATGGGTGCCTCCATTATAGTTACATAAGCATAATGCTGCCATTGAGATGATGTCACCTTTACTGCTCTCCCTTTCAAAGCCACTGTGTTTATTGCAGAAAGTTTAGAGCATGGGTAAGGGTTCCTTTAAGATAAATCCCACTCACAGAGGCAACCCAGCTGCGCTTTGGGATGGTCCTCCCATCTTTCTTTGCACACGCACTTGCACGCGCACTTGTGCTGTTTTCAGTAAAAGTACGATCCTGCCATCGTGCTGCCTGGGCCCTGAGCACTTGCCGTGACATGCAGTCCTCCTGTAGATCCTCACATCTGCGCGTCACTGACAGCTCATCGAATAGCCATTCCCGCCATGCAGGCGGCCAAGTCATTTCGGTATTTCTGAGCAATGCTATGTCCATTAGCCATTAAGAAATGGTAAGCGACCAATCCTCCCTCCCACGATTCCTTTTCTCAAGTTATTTTTTCCTGAGGAGTCACTCCCTTGCGATTCCTTTCCCTCTTCCAGCACTTGCTCGGTAGAGCGAGAGCCTTGAGGAACCCATAAAGAGGCTTTTGTGTTCTTCTCCCCTTGACAAACGCGGACAGCTGGTTGTGAGCGATCAGCGTTTGGCAGCTTACGCGCTCTCCTAGTTGTCGGTGTTAATGGTGTTAACGTGGCTCCCCTCTTTCTCTCCTAGAGATTAGAGCTCAGTTCCCGCAGCTGACGGGCGTGCTGACGCTGGCTTTCTTTATCCACAACTGTGTTATCACACTCCTCAAGAGCAACAAGAACCAGGAGAACAACGTGAGTGACCACCTGAGGAAGGGGTGCTTGCTTCGGCCTTAGCCTCTAAGTTTAAGTGGTAGACCATGGTCAGCAAACCTTTCCCGTAAAGATTCAGGTCGTCAATATTTCAGGCCTCAGGGGCCATGGGGTCCCTGTCCTCACCGCCCCAGGCCTGTGATGGCCCCAGTAGCCATGGGCGCTATGTAAACAAGTGATGGCCGTGTTTCAAGGAAACTTTATTTATCAAAATGAACAGCTGCCGGATTTCACTGGATTTCACCGGGGTCCACAGTTTGCCAGCTCCTGCTTGAGCAAGCACTGAAAACACAGAGGCCAGGCCAGTAGCCGGCAGAGTGATGAAAGTTTTAAAAATACCCAGTGACCTGAAAGCCAGGAAAAGGGACAGATAGAAAACACAGAGCAAGAAGAGAGCTTTAACCCCATAACGCTGGTCATCACATGAAATAAAAACAGTCCAATTATTGCAGTTAAAAGACAGGGATTGTCAGAATGATTGAAAACCTAGCTCTATGCTATCGATGAGAAACTTCCTTCCAATACAAAGACGTACCATAAAGACGCTGCACAGAGAAAGGTGGATGTCAAGTGAGGAGTTTTGCCAAAATACAGAGGAACATTGTCTAATGACCTTTAGGGATGGATTCATCTAGAAGACATAATAATCCCAAGTATGTGTGCACCCTATGACAGAACTTCCTGGAGATCTCCTGGCCCCTCCCTCAGTAACTGAGGGGACAAACAGGAAATCATGAGGGAGAGAAAGCACTGGCAGCCTTCATGGTCTCAGTGCATTTATGAAAGTCTCCGCTCACACAGGAGCAGGATGGACATTCCTTTCAAACGCACACGGAGCATTTCCCAAGATGGCCCATGTGCCGGGCAAGTCCCAGTAAATGTGAAATTGTACCAAGTGTTTCTTTGGCCGTAGAGAAGTTAGGCATCGGTAACAGAAAGAAATCTGGGAAGTTGACAGACACTAAACAACATATTCTTAAATAACCAACAAGAAAAAGTAGGAAATGCTTTGAGGTTACTGAAATGGAGACAAAACACACCAGAATGTAAAGGATGCAGCTAAAGCAGTGCTTAGGGGGAGATTTATGGCTGTGAACACTTATCTCAAAGAGAAAAAGATCGCAAGTCAATAGCCTACCCTTCCACCTTAAGACTCTGGAAGAAGAAAGCAAACCGGACCCAGAGCGAGCAGGAGGAGCCAGGTGCCTGTGGCCTTTCTGCGGAAGTTGAGCTCAGGTGACGGCCTCTACCTGTGTAAACAGAGGTCGCGATGCAGCTCGCAGGTCCCCATGGCGGCACTGAACCACACAGGAAGGAAGCGCTCTGGGCCTCGGGGCTCTGAGGAGGCTCCGGGCAGCGTTTGGCAGAGGCAGCGAGAAGGCAAACATCTTCTAAGTGGAAGGAAGTCAGCTGTCAACCTCAGGCAAGAATGTAGGTCAGGCTCCTCTGTTTCCATGTGTTGGGTCACCTGGGAACACACACCTGGCATCTGACCTGGGAGCGGAGCGGGGATGGAGTGAATCTGGATTTTCCAAGGCCTTCCGCTGTCATGGTCTTCCCAGGGAGTAACGGTGTGGTTTGACTCTGGCCCTCGGGGTCTCCATCGCAGGCAACTCTTACCAAGCAGGAGAGGCGTTTCACGTGGTGGGGACCCTCCCTTTCCCTCCTGACGCGATGGACAGACGGAACTTGCTGACAGGAGCGTCTCCCGCAGGTCTGTCTGGGCCATGAAGTTGTGTAACGAGACACATTGGCTTTGGCCAGGACTCCCTCCTGCGACTGGATGAGTTAGGGCCCAGGAAGCACCTACCTGGGCCCTCGATCCTGCCTTTCTCGCTCCCTCCTCCCTGCCTGGTTCCACGTGAAAGCCGCTTCCACAAGGTCTCCTAACGCTCCAGAGGGAACGGCAGACGGAGGGGAGAGCGCAGCGCGGAAGGAGAAGTGCGCGCACTGGAGGAAAGCTGTCCGCCTGTCAGACGGTCCCCGATCCCGTGTGTTTAGTTTCCACGCTCACGGCCGTTGGTGTTTGAGATGAAGAGCGAACAGGCCTGTCCCGCACTGAGGTGCTGAGGCCCGGCCGGCCGTGGGGGGCGGAGGCCAGGCCCGGGCACTGCGGCCGCTGTGCGGGTCCGGCAGCTGCCGTGGAGGGACGCGGCCCGCTGTGCACGGCGCCCGCCTCTGCTGGCCGCCCGGCGTGACGGGCAGGGCTGGGGAACGGCTGCCGCTAATGTCCTGCTCTCACGTCACTGAGGCTTGTCTGTGGCGCCTGCCCGCTGCCTGCTCCTCCGCAGCTTCCCCTCCTCACGTAACGTCTCCCATTCCTTCCCGGGCTCTGGGCTGCACAGGCTCTGGCGCTGGGAGCTCATACTGAAGGGAGAAGATGTTCATTCTTGGGCCATCCTGAGAGTGGTAGTCCCTTAGCTTTGTTATTTCAGTTAAAACTTACTCACTTGGTAAACTATTTGCTTTTTGAAATTATGCCAGAATTCCTACCATCTTAAACCACCACTTACGTTAACTTCCTACCCCTGCCCATCGGCAGCTCCAGGTGCACCCCCGAGGAGTGCCCACACGTCTGTCTGACTGTCCGGCTTGTGAATTGTTTCACTTCCTTTCTGTGAACAGATGGGATGTGTACGCATGCACATGCACACACATCTACACGCACACACACACACACACACACACACGCACAGCCAAAGCAGGCCCCGTGTGTGCCAGGCTGCTTTGTCCTGTGGGACGCACTCCGCAGGCAGAGCCGAGTGTGAGCTGCCGTCCTCTCCGCAGGTGCGGGACCTCTCCATTGCCTACCTGCTGGTGACGCTCACCTACCTGTACATCGGAGTGCTGGTCTTCGCCGCCTTCCCCTCGCCCCCGCTGTCCAAGGACTGCATCGAGCAGGTGAGCCTGGACCCTCTGTGGGACCAGACCCCAGCCCTTCGAAGTGTGAGCGACACTAACCACTGAGCCCCCGCCAGACCAGCATTTCCCTGCTGGGTGCAATGGGAGGTGTGGTGTGAATGTCACGGGTGTGAGTGCCATGGGTGTGAGTGCCACAGGTGTGTCACAGGTGTGAGAGCCACAGGTGAGGAGCCACAGGTGTGAGAGTCACGGGTGTGAGAGTCATGGGTGTGAGAGTCACAGGTGTGAGTGTCACGGGTATGAGAGTATGACAGGTGTAAGAGTATGACAGGTGTGAGAGTCACGGGTGTGAGAGTCACGGGTGTGAGTGCCATGGATGTGAGTGCCACGGATGTGTCACGGGTGAGAGTGTCACGGGTGTGTCACGGGTGTGAGTGCCACGGGTGTGAGTGCCACGGGTGTGAGTGCCACGGGTGTGAGTGCCACGGGTGTGAGTGTCACGAGTGAGAGTGTCACGGGTGTGAGAGTCACGGGTGTGAGAGTCACAGGTGTGAGAGTCACAGGTGTGAGAGCCACAGGTGTGAGAGCCACGGGTATGAATGTCACGGGTGTGAGTGTCACGGGTGAGAGAGACACAGGTGAGAGAGACACAGGTGAGTGGTAAAGGTGGCTTCAGCATGGTTGTGCTGATGGCATCTCTTCTCGGTAAGAGAAACAGGTTGAGTGGCTGCTGTGGTGTGAAGTTGGGACGTCCCTCCCCACAGCCTGTGGCTGCCAGGCGTTTGCTGCAAACTCCCTGACCAACAGCCCGTAAGGCCCGGCGCCGGGAGCAGCGGTGTCTGTGATGTTTGTTGAAAGGGGAGGGGTGATCGGCTGCTTCTCTGAGATGCCACGCTGACACGGAGAAGAGCCGTGAGAGGGAGCGGATAGAGTCCTGTTCCCGGTGATGGGCTGTGGGTGCAGGGGCCCTGGGACAGGCCTGCCCCCTCCCTGCGCCCCTGGCGGGAAGGCAGTGTGCCTCCGGGGGCGGCACCGCCTCGGCTCAGGTGCCATTAAACACACTCGACGGTCAGGCGGGGCCCTCGGAGCCGGCTCCTCGGGGCGAGGACAAGGCTTTCTTTGTCGATCTGATGCCACATCGGCTGCCGGCTGATACTTTTTAAAATACGTTTTTATTGATGTCAGAGAGGAAGGGAGAGGGAGGGAGAAAAACATCAGTGATGAGAGAGACTCATGGACGGGCCGCCTCCTGCACGCCCCCCACTGGGGATCGAGCCCACAACCCGGGCCTGTGCCCTGGCCAGGAATGGACCGTGACCTCCTGGCTCATAGGCCAACACTCAGCCACTGAGCCACGGCCGGGCCAGCCGCTGCTGTCATGAAGTAGATAGACGTGTGGCGATGGCGTGTTTCTGCAAAAGTCCCTCAACACCTTCCATCCCCCGGCTGGCTCCCTGAGGGGAACGGGAGCGCAGTCCGTGGCACCCCCCCCCCTCGTGGCCCGGCACCCACAGGGCGATCACAGGGCGCCCACGAGGTGCAGGCACCACCTCGCGGACGCGGCCTGGATGCGGCTCTCACACGACTCTCTCTCCCTCGGACCAGAACTTCTTAGACAACTTCCCCAGCAGCGACGTGCTGTCCTTCGTGGCGCGCATATTCCTGCTGTTCCAGATGGTGACCGTGTACCCGCTCCTGGGCTACCTGGCCCGGGTCCAGCTGCTGGGCCACGTGTTCGGGGACCCGTACCCCAGGTGAGGAGGGCTCCCGACCAGCGGGCACCAAGGGCGGGGTGCCGCCGGCCGCAGGACCGGTGAGATGTCTCTGGGGGCAGGTCACGCGCGGGCTGTGCCGGGACAGGGACCCGACTCGGCTGCTGCTGAGCGATGCACACACGCACGCCCAGGCAGCTGGGGGCAGAGGTCCTGGCCGGGCCTCCACATGATGGCGATTGGTGTCCACTTAGTCCCTGACGGGCGTGTGCCTTTCCACGCGTGTGCCTTTCCGTGCGTGTGCCTTTTTGCGTGGCAGCTGGCCGTCGAAGGCAAGGCAGTGTCAGGTAGGGTCTTCCCTGCGTGGCCGTCCCTCGCGGCGAGGAGCTGTGAGTCGCTGTGGCATCGCGCATGGCTCGGCGCCTCTCCCAGGCTCCCACGCCGCTCAGGCTCCCGGACACCGTGGGCCCGGCTCCCCTGCTCTCTTGCTCAGTCTTATCACAGCCCCCCAGGCAGTCCCGTGGCTGGCCCTGTCTTATTGGGAAAACATTATCCTAAATGAAGAAACCGTCCGGGTAAAATCTGACCAAAGGTCACGTTTACAGTAACCGGCACACCATGGTCTGAGGCAGTCCATCTGGAGTGTGTTGGTGACAAACCGTAAGCTTCTAAGTCAGGAGGCCGGGTCCCCAGGCCGGCAGCCGGTGCTGGTGGTGCCGTCGGGAGGGGTCGGGAAACGGGTCAGGCCGCAGTGTGTCGCCGCAGTCCCGGGCCCCAAACACGGGAGACTGGGCGGAGACAGCCAGTGAACGCGCTGGGCCTGCCTGCTGCCCTGGCCGGCCTGTGGGGCCGGCGGAATGGGCTTCCTTCTCGGGAAGGTCTGGAATGCCCCTTTGCTCACAGGGCGTTTCTGCCCACCGCCAGCGCACGCCGGCATCTGCCCGGCGACGCCCTCCGCGCACGGCTGACGCGTGTTCTCGGTGACTGATGACAGACCCAGGGCACTGCAGTTGTCCTGGTCTCCGATGGTGGAGCTTTTGTCTTGAGGTGACTGAGCGGGGCTGTGGTGGAGACGGCCTCGGACACTCACTGTGCACTCCCATGGCGGCTGTCCACGCGCACTGAGGGCGGGCCCCGTGGGCCACCTCCACCTCCGTGGGGCGTCCTTGGCGTGTGTGAGACGTACTGACTGTAGACGTGCTGGTAGTGAACTGTGTTCTCACGTCCGTGGTATAACGTGCCTGTTTTATTTTATTTCTCTCCCTCCACAGCGTCTTCCACGTGCTGGTCCTGAACCTGATCATTGTGGGCGCCGGCGTGAGCATGGCCTGTCTGTACCCCAACATCGGCGGCATCATCAGGTACTGCTGGGCCTCGCCCCTGCGGGGTGCTCCCTGCAGGGTGCTCCCTGCGGGGTGCTCCCTGCCGGGTGCTCCCTGCGGGGTGCTCCCTGCGGGGTGCTCTCTGCCGGGTGCTCCCTGCCGGGTGCTCCCTGCGGGGTGCTCTCTGCCGGGTGCTCTCTGCCGAGTGCTCTCTACCGGGTGCTCTCGGTGCTCTCTGCCGGGTGCTCTCTGCCGGGTGCTCTCTGCCGGGTGCTCTCGGTGCTCTCTGCCAGGGTGCTGTCCATGTGGCTGCGGTCTCCTTCAATTGTGGGAGATTTCAGGGCTTAAAACTTAATGTGCACGTTGTCTGCTGTCGCTTACGTCTCGTCCTCCATTCTGCTCCTTTCTAACTGGAAGCCCTGGGCCCTGAGTGGCAGCACCTGCTCGCTCTCCCATTGTCTCCTGTGTCCTGTCTTCTCACCCGTGGAAGTGGCGTGTAGTAAATAGCATGTCTTGGGCACCTGGAAGGTCTCTCAGTGTCACGGCTGCACCCTCACTTTCTGCTCAGGAGCACGGCCCCGGGGGAAAGGCCTCATAGGAGGTGACAGGGAGATCTGGCTGTGGGGGGCGGCCACTGTGCAGTACACAGACCTGTAATGTGGAAGCCCAGCCTGACACTGATGTGCTCATGCTGACCAGTGTCACCCCAATAATTTAGTAAAAAAGAAGAATATAGTCCAGTGTCAGCTGTCAGGAAGGAAGAGCTCAGGTCCTAAGGGTGCTTTCCTTAATATTCTTTCCCAGAGACACTGACGTTTGGGGAACATCGAGTGGGTTGGGAACATGGTGCCTTGGTTCTCACGGAAACGGGGCTCCGAATGATGTGCCCCTGAACCTACAGAACGCAGGGCTGAGTCACTGCCGAAGGCCCTTCCCTCAGAGCGGCGAGCAGCCCGATGCCCGTTGGACACGCGGACCGGTTCCGAGGGAACTGTTCCCAGTGAACCGGGAGGCGGTGCGGCTCTGCAGGCTGTGGTGGCGTTTTGTTAGGACCTTTGATATCGATGCTGAATGCTCCGTGCTCATCCGCTCATCCTCAGGAGATGCAGCCCTTCACACATGCAGAATCCTAGTCCTGTGTCATGAAAGGCTGATATGCAAATCAACCAAACAGCTGAACAACCAGTCGCTATGACGCGCACTGACCACCAGGGGCAGACACAGCGCAGGAGTGTGCTCCCACAGGAGGAGTGCTGCTCAGCCAGAAGCCGGGCTCGCGGCTGGCGAGCGCAGCAGTGGTGGCGGGACTTCTCCTGCCTCCAGAGCAGTCGGACATCCCCCGAGGCTCCCGGACTGTGAGAGGGTGCAGGCTGGGCTGAGGGACCCCCCCCTCCATGCACTAATTTCGTGCACCGGGCCTCTAGTTAGTTTATAAAAGATCAAAGCGAGAGAGCCAGTCTCCACATGTTCCCGAGGAAATCCCTGGATTGCAGGGACGAGTAAAACCTTTGTCGAGCAGATGCCGTAAGACGCACAGGAAGTGGTGGTTTATAGTAACTTGGCTGGTACAGTGATTGGCCTCCAGTGCTTTGTCAGCAGCAGGTGGATCGGAGGCCTGCTCAGCGGGTGAGGAGGGTGGATTGTGCCGTAGTCACCTTCCTGGTAAATCAGAAAAGGCGAGTGCGGGCGGCTCTCACTACGGGCGCTTCGTTCCAGGTACTCGGGAGCGGCCTGCGGCCTGGCCTTCGTGTTCGTCTACCCGTCCCTCATCCACATCCTCTCCCTCCGCCACGAGGACCGCCTGACGTGGCCCACGCTGGCCTTCCACGTCCTCCTCATCGTCCTGGGCCTGGCCAACCTGCTGGCCCAGTTCTTCATGTGACACCTTGTCAGCACCAGGTGTCTGCCCGACTCTGCACATCCTGCCGAGAAAAGCCGAAACCGGGCGACAGCCGCCGTTCACTCCTGAGCCACGTGGCTCGTGCGGGGAGGGACAGGAAGTACCATCTTGGTCCCCGCCCGCCTCCTGTCCCTCCCGCCTTCCTCACTGGGTCCTGCGTGGAAGGTGTGCCCTCAGGAGAGCCACGAGGGGGCGGTGCATTTGGCGACCACGAAGACTCAGGGCGTCCCCGCCGGGACTCCGCTCAGGCTCACTGCACTCCCTTCGTTCTGTCACTCCCTGACCATCGTTGCAGTTTGCCCAAACCAAGGTTGGGGACAGTAAACCAGATACCTCATTTTCTAAAGAGAAATCTCCATGACATCAGTGTTAATAGACTGAATTTTTAAGAAAGTAAGAAAAAGAAAAGGTCACTGGATGAACTTTATACAGAATAAATGCACTCATGGCGCTGGCTGCTGTCTGACTTCTCTCTCGTGACTTCGGTCAAAACCCTAGTTCCTCGAAGTGGAGTGTGATTGCCCCACCGATCAGCAGGGGGTGGGGTGTCTTCTGCCCGTGGGAAGAGGGGAGGAAGCAGAGCTACAGGCCCCCCCAGGGAGCAGGGGGTGGAGGAGGGGGCCGAGTGGGGTCTGCCGCCCAGTGTGTCTCATTCCTGTAGGGACGGGTTGGCTCTGGGCGAGGGGTGCCCTGCAGAAGGAGACCCCCCGCCCCCACTGTGTAACTGGCGGTGTATCTCAGCGAAGCCCTCAGCCTCGTCCACAGGCGTACACCGAGGACCGTTCCCTAAAGCTCTTCTCAGAAGGCCTTGTCGGGAACATGCTCAGGCTCACACAGAGCAGAGAGCATCATGGGCTGACACCCCAGGGCCGGCCCCTGACGGTAACGCTGAGAGGGCTGAGCCTGCTCTTCACACCCCGAGTTCTTCTTCCCCTCCCCCCCAATACTTACAGCCGCTCTCATCTCTACAGCCTTCCGAGGCGCTCCTGAGCTCGGCTCGGTACTCCCGGTGGCGGGCAGCCTGGGGGGAGGTGAAGGGGGGACCTGCAGGGGAGCCAGAGGGTTAGAGATGCCCTGTTCGTGTCTGGCTCTGTTGACCTGTCTCAGCACAGGTGATGGAGAGCATGCGTGTCTGTGCTGGGCAGTCCTCTGCTCTGTGCTTCTGTCTTGTCCGTTGGAGCCCCGGGAATCAGAAGCCAGGGGCTCCCTGAGATCTTGCAGGCTCGGCCCCTGCTCCCCCCCGTGGCCCCTCTCATCTCTGAAAAGGAGTTTTCAGCTCCGGCAGACTAGAGCATCGGCCCGAGGACCGAGGGTTCAGGTTCAATTCCCAGTCAAGGGCATGTACCTGGGTGGCTGGCCCAGGTTCCGGCAGGTACAGGAGACAACCGATGAATGTGTGTCTCCCATTTCAGTGTTTCTCTCTCCCCCTCTCTCTATTTCTTTAAAAACTAATAGAAATGTTTTTAAAATGTATAATAATAAAAGCATACTATGCTAATTAGACCGGACGGCTGCGAGGGAAGCCGGCAGGTACGAGAGGGAAGCTGGTGCGGGCAGCAGGGGAAGGCAGGCCCGCTCCTGCACAAATTCTGTGCGCTGGGTCTGTAGTGAACACATAACAATAAAGACTTGGGTTTGCCTGACCTCTTGTCAGTATGCTTGAGGATGCTCACACACGGAAACAGGATTTGTCCTGTGTTTGCCCGCCGAGCGATCAAAGTGAACCAGACAATGAATGTATTCTTCACTGAACTAAGAGGCAAAGCGGGCATTTGTCTTTGTTTTCTCTGAGGGACGTCCAAACCCGGCCCAGGCTGATGCTGAGCAGCGCTGCCTCCTTTAGTTCTTGTCCTTCGCCTCGGCCTGGCCGGGCCTCTGAGCGGTGGGCGTGCCGGGCCACGTGAGGCTGAGACACGCTCAGTCAGACCCCGTGGGGAGCTATGATCTTTCCCTGCCGCCATCACTCCACTCTCTAACTCCTCCTCTCTCGCTTTTTCTCTGATGTGGTTCGCGTTAGTTTCTTTGGATTTGCTTACTCAACACACACCTGAGGACGTGAGAAAATCAAAAGTGTGTTTTCTGGAGAAGCCCTCCTCCGAGAGGCTCTGGGAGGGGGCTGGTCGGCTGGTGCTGGGCGGAGGACACGCGCTGGCACCTAGGAAGGACCATCCTCCCAGCTCCGTCACCGCCACGAGGGCCCACCGCCGAGGGCCGTGGGGGGAACTCACAGCCGGTGCATTACCGTCAGCTGCTCTGGGAGGCGGAGAGGCTGTCTCCACCTGCAGCTCACTGGGAGAATTTCTGTCGGAATCTGATTTATTTTCATAAATAATGAACTGTCTGTGCCTTGGAGGATGCAACGGTGTAGACACTCGTGTCCCAGAGAACGTGTGATCCAGGGGAGGAGCCGTGTGCGTGGCTGGCTGTGAGCAGGGGCTGCTGGGGACAGAGACTGGCCCTCCCGGTGGGCACTTGGGGCTGGGAGAGGCCGCCAGGACCACGTGAGGACCACATGAGGACCACGCCAGGACCACGCCGGGACCACGCCAGGAACACACCAGGACCATGCCAGGACCACGCCAGGACCACACCAGGACCACATGAGGACCACGCCGGCACCACGCCAGGAACACACCAGGACCACACCAGGACCACACCAGGACCACATGAGGACCACGCCAGGACCACACCAGGACCACATGAGGACCACGCCAGGACCACGCCAGGAACACACCAGGACCATGCCAGGACCACATGAGGACCACACCAGGACCACGCTAGGACCACGCCAGGACCACACCAGGAACACACCAGGACCATGCCAGGACCACGCCAGGACCACACCAGGACCACATGAGGACTACGCCAGGACCACGCCAGGACCATGCCAGGACCACGACAGGACCACGCCAGGACCACGCTCACGCGTCTCCTGGCGGCCGCCAGTTCAGACCCCGGCTGCCTTCCCTCAGGAGACTCCTGTGGAGCGGGTTGCCTATTGGCGAGTTCCGTGTGAGCCGAGCTTTGTGAGGCGTGTTCCACGGCCTCCGTCTGCTGTGTTCTCTCGGCATCATTGACACGGCGCGGCGCCACGGTGCCTCTCGGCGGCAGAGCGCACTGACCCACAGGCGGAGGGAGCAGCGGCGCCTCGCGCAGGGCCAGCGGCGGCTCCGCAGCGTCCCGGCCCGTGGCGAGGTCAGCGCTGAGCGGCCGGCGCTCCTGCTGAGCGGGGAAGCCTGGAGCTCATGTTCTCATCACAGCGGCCTGGCTGCCGCCTGTGAGAGCCGGGGGCGGGGGTTTGCTCTCTCCTCCCAATTGCACGCCCCAAGCACTGTCCACGTTTGGTTGACGCCTAAGCCACAGAACTGCATCGGGCTGTGACTTACAGGGAGATGCCGGTCCGTCCCCGGGGACCGCGCCCGACCTCCCTTCGGATCCTGTAAACACGCACGCGTTGCACAAGTCTGACGGGAACTCCGAGCCCAAACTGTGCCCTCGGGAAGGTCATGTTGTCTTTTAATATAAGAAACGAAATCAAATTGTTTTGAAGAAAAACAACTGTGGAATTTTGTTTAATTGCATTTTGCTGGGAAATGCTGTTGCCTGACCCGGGCAAGAAAGCAGCTGAAGGTCATCATCCTTCCTGCCAGACCGTCCCATTGAGGCATCATGTGACAGCTGCCTCTGTCCCCACGGGCTATCTCTGTCCCCACGGGCCATCTCTGTCCCCACGGGCCATCTCTGTCCCCTACGGGCCATCTCCGTCCCCCATGGGCCATCTCCGTCCCCACGGGTCATCTCTGTCCCCCACGGGCCGCCTCTGTCCCCACGGGCCATCTCCGTCCCCACGGGCCATCTCCGCCCCCCACGGGCCATCTCCGTCCCCCACGGGCCATCTCTGTCCCCACGGGCCATCTCTGCCCCCCACGGGCCATCTCTGCCCCCCACGGGCCATCTCCGCCCCCCACGGGCCATCTCCGTCCCCCACGGGTCATCTCTGCCCCCCACGGGCCATCTCTGTCCCCACGGGCCATCTCCGTCCCCCATGGGCCATCTCTGTCCCCACAGGCCATCTCCGCCCCCCACGGGCCATCTCCGCCCCCCACGGGCCATCTCCGTCCCCCATGGGCCATCTCTGTCCCCACGGGCCATCTCCGTCCCCCATGGGCCATCTCTGCCCCCCACGGGCCATCTCTGTCCCCCATGGTCCATCTCTGCCCCCCACGGGCCGCCTCCGTCCCCCACGGGCGGACCTGTCCCCGGGCGGACCCGTCCCCGGAGGAGCTCGCAGCGCCCTCAGTCGGGGAGTGTGGAGAAAGGCGCTCCTGCCCCAGTCGTAGCTCCCTGAGGAGAAGGTCGTGGCTGCCTGATAGATGCAGGCCCTGCACTGAGAGGCGTGCGCCCGTGACGGACGTGGCTGGGGTGAGGCATTGCCTCCCGAGGGGCCATGGACGTAGACGTGTCTGACAAGTTGAGAGAGGAGAGGAGAGGACAGCCCAACTCCCTGCTGGACGTGGGATGGGCCCTCCTGGGGCAGCGGGCCTGGGGCAGTGGGGCCTGGGGCAGCGGGGCCTGGGGCAGTGGGGCCTGGGACAGCGGGGGCCTGGGAGGGGGGGGAATGGGGCAGTGGGGCCTGGGGCAGCGGGGCCTGGGAGCGGGGCCTGGGGCAGGGGGGCCTGGGAGCGGGGCCTGGGAGCGGGGCCTGGGGAAGCGGGGCCTGGGGCAGGGGGGCCTGGGGCAGCGGGGCCTGGGGGAGCCGGGCCTGGGGGAGCCGGGCCTGGGGGAGCCAGGCCTGGGGCAGCGGGGTCTGGCTTTGTCTCCCTGAGCCCCCAGCGCTGCAGCCGAGGCCGCCTCAGCCCTTTCCCACCGGCCGCCTCCTTTCCTCTCATTGTCGGAATCACCCACACATTTCCTGCTTCGGGGGCTGGGCTGGAGGCTGCAGCTGGCAGAGCCCGCTGACTGGCCTGGTACCGTGGAGGCAG